TTGGCTGGAATAAAAGCAGTTCAGATCAGACCCTTTTTTATTAGATTGGCCACAGAATAAACACTGCTTTTCCCCTGCCTGATTAACTGAACCTGTCTAAATAATCTAGTTAAGCTTTTAAATTGCTTTTTAAACTGAACTTCAAAACAGCCCACACAATAATTTGTAATTAGTTATTAGAAATTAGTTAATAAAACTCGATAAAAGAGATAAAATGTGTGATCTTATCTCTGTTAAACAGCACGATTTATTGTCATCTGTGTAAATTTTTTTTTAAATAAATAAATAAAATTTCACACAAAGACTAATAATTAATTGTGTGTGTGTGTGTGTGTGTGTGTGTGCGTGTGTGCACAGTAGTCAACATTTGAAGTGAATCAAAAATGTTTGTTTTTTCGTCCTAAGACTAGTATGCCTGTTATCTAATATTTGTAGAATAATGCTGAGAAAGGTTTTGATCCACTTCAAATGTTGACTACTGTATTTATAGACCCATGCAGCTAAAATAAAGTGCTCTCTAATCATTTTTAGAATATCAATGACAGGTCTATCAAATCTGTATATTTGGTAAATCAAATGAAGAAGCAAATCAAAATGACATACATTTCCATATACAGTACGTCATTCTTTTTGGCCTGATTTTAATCTAAATTTTATTGGGTAACTTAACCACGAGTGTCACACATTTCAAGTCTGCTGCTTTTCAATGCACTGTATAAAGCGACACGCTACAATGATCAAGTTCACCTTCACCCAAACAGTCCATGCAAATTCATTGTGTGTAGTTTACTGACTTTATGTTATCATATCAAATACCAGCCTTCTTGAATGACTGCAAGGCAAAGATTATAAGAAAAATAAAAGTAACTTTAGGAACAGCAGTGACTTTTAGTTGTCTAATGTAGACCTTCAATTACTTTCACTACCTGAAGCATATTACATGTTCTCCATCTTTTGTCCCTCAGGTGTTCTACTGTATGGTGCTCTCGGATGGGATGTGACAGTGCCAAGAAACATTCGTGGTCTTCGCGGTTCCTGTCTGGTGATTCCATGTTCTTTCAGCTACACATCATACCCAGCCCCAAACCCACGTAGAGTTGTGTGGTATCAGTGGGTCTCTAAAGGTTATCCTTTGGTCTGTGATCAATGGTATCCAAATGATGTTATTGACAAGTTCAGAGGAAAAACAGATTTATATAGAAAACCCCATTGGGATTGCACTCTGCTGATTTCTAAAGTGGCTCGCTCTCACCATGGAGAAAAAATATATGCATGGATCGACCCTGAAAATGTTGGAAAGAGCACTTATGCATTTTATGATGTCACATCTACAATCTATGTTGATGGTATGTAAATATTGCTGTGTACTGGACAACACCTGTGATTATTCAACTACAGTAAAATATTATATCATGATTTAAAATAGTCACAGTTTTCACAAAAACTCTAAAAGATTAATGTTCAAATTAGAGACTGAAATTGGTTGTACATTTCATTTTAGTTTGATGAACTTCTCTTGTGGTTATTCACTGAAGCCAAGCAGGACTGAGCCTGGTCAGTGCCTGGATGGGAGACCACTTGGGAAAACTAGGTTGCTGTTGGAAGTGGTGTTAGTGAGGCCAGCAGGGGGAGCTCAACCTATGGTCTGTGCGAGTCCTAATGCCCCAGAAAAAAAAGTCAAGGGGACACTATACTGGGTGCCGTCTTTTGGATGAGACGTTAAACCGAGGTCCTGACTCTCTGTGGTCATTAAAAATACCATGGCACTTCTTGTAAAGAGCAGGGGTGTAACCCGGGTGTCCTGGCCAAAGTCCCTCTACCGGCCCTTACGATTATGGCCTCTCGATCATCCCCATCCACTGAATTGGCTCTATCACTGTCATGCCACTCCACCAATAGCTGGTGTGTGGTGAGCGTACTGGCGCCATTGTCCTGTGGCAGCCGTCGCATCATCCAAGTGGATGCTGCACGCTGGTGGTGGTGTGAAGAGATCCCTCTCATAATTGTGAAGCATTTTAGGTGTATGGCCATACACAATAAATGTGCTATATAAATACACATTACATTACATTATTCTGATGTCATACATCCATGAAAACTGATCTGGGCTATGGAGTAAAAAGTTGGTTAGCAATGCAATTTCATTATTTTAAAGTGTATATTTGGGGATTACTGTTTATTTCAAAGCAAAATTACTTGATTTACTAGACATTTACATGAGGAGGTTCTAGTTTTATTCACAAGGGTTCAGGTGATCTCAGAAGAGATGATATACTAATACGAATATTTCATATTTCTGTGAATTACAGAAGATCCAAAGCAGCCCAGCATTGAAATTCATGGAGGTGACACAATGGGTGAATCCGTCACAGTAATATGTTCGACCTTCCACACGTGTCCATACAGAAAACCAGCAATCTCTCTGAACGGCATAAATGGAGATGATCAAACAAATGATGAACATAAAGGAAATGGCTTGTGGAAAACCTCTCTGACACGCAGAGGTGTTGTAAAGACAGAAAGCCTCAATTTTCAGTGTTCAGTAACATATTATGGGGACAGAACAGCAAGTTCTTCAAAGTACAAAAGTGCCAAATGTGAGTGTAAACAAATATGATCTGTTCTGTGCACTATTATTTGCACGCTCACTTTAAATGTTGCAAATTAACCAGTTTCAAGATTTCATTTCACTTTCAGGTGTTCATCAAAAAATAACGATTGAGCCTGCAATTGGAGATGTCACTGAGCACGTCCAGCAGATCTTCACCTGCACCGTCTACCATTCCTGTCAGAATGAGAAACCAACCATCACATGGAACTACAGGGACATGCAGATCTCAGAGGGGATAAAAACACTTTCTGGTTTAAATCGGGCCACCTATTCCAAAATAACCTTTGTTGGTACCATCAAAGACCATGGAAACAGACTGATTTGCACTGCAAGGTTTTCTGGAGGAAGCACTAAAGCTTCTGTCATTATACGAGTACAGCGTGAGTAATTTGTTAGAATCTTGTCTGATGTGTGTGATCTCTCTATATTTAAGCATTTCCAGTATTCACTTTTAAAAATGTGACATTTTGGTTGAAGCATTATATGACCTTAAAAACCAATGCGCTTATCAAATACAAAATGTTTTATTTAACATCGATTTTCAATTTGTTTTAAATAACAAGCAGAAAATTTTTCATAAGTTTTCTTTTATTTTTTTACTTTAATTATTCACTAGGCCATTCATATTTTCCATTGTTTATCCCACAGGTGTTCTGCTGTTTGATGCTTTAGGATGGGAAGTGAAAATCCCGCAAGACATTCACGGCCTCAAAGGTTCCTGTCTGGTGATTCCATGTTCTTTCAGCTACACATCAAACCCACCCAAAAACCCACGAGTCGTGTGGTATCAGCGGTCTTCTAGTGGGCATCCTTTAGTTTATGATTCTTTGGATACAAATAATGTCATTGCAAAGTTCAGAGGAAAAACTGATTTGTATGGAAACTCGAATTGTAGTCTCCTGATCAGAAAACTGGAACAGTCCCACGATAATGAGAAATTATACACAAGGATTGACCCTGAAAATGATGCGTGGACAAAATACGAACATGATGATATCACCTCTACAATCCTTATAGACGGTATGTAAATAATATTAGAATAATACTCTTTCACTCTAACGTCTGTACATGTGCAACTGCAGGAAAAGATTGTATTGATAATAACATCACACTTAATATAATGCTTCTCTGAAGTTGTTTTAAATTTATTTTAAATAATATTTTGCCCTAAATGTATATTTATTTTTACATATCTTTGCATTATCAAAATAATGTGATAGAAAAAATATTTGTAACGTTTTGAGAAAATAAAACACACATTTGAAAGTTTTTAACTTTTATTTTTACCTTTTTGTCATTAGAAAGTCCACAGCAACCCAATATGGATATTTCTGGAGGTGAAAGGATGGGCGACAATATTACGGTAGCATGTTCAGCTTTCCACACGTGTCCACATAGCAAACCAAATATCACTCTGAACGGTGTTGAAGGATCTGATGAAATAAAGCATGAGTCCTTTAAAGATGGCCAGTGGAAAATCACTCTGACACGAAAAGCTGTGGTAAAGGCAGAAAGCTCAAGCATTGAGTGCTCAGTAACATATCATGGTGGTGTAAAAGTGACAGCTACAATGACCAAAACTGCCAAATGTGAGTGTTAACAAGTATGAACAGCTGCATGTTCTATTAGCTATAATGTTTGTAAGCCATGTTGACTAGGTGTCATTTCACTTTCAGGTGTTCATCAAAAAATAACGATTGAGCCTGCAATAGCAGATGTCACTGAGGGCGTTGAACAGATCTTCAACTGTACCGTCTACCATTCCTGTCAGATGGAGAATCCAACCATCACATGGAACTACGAGAACATGCAGGTCTCAGAGGGGAGAAAAACACTTTCAGGTTTAGATCGAATCACCTATTCCAATATAACCTTCCTGGGTGCGAAAGAAGACAATGGGAAGGAGCTGACGTGCACTGTACAAATGTCTGGAGGAAACAGTGAAGAATCTGTTGTTTTACGTGTAAAAGGTGAGTTATTTGTTAGTGGCATGCTTTGGCTTATATTCAGGATAAAAGCACAAATCTGTGACATTTTGGGCATTATTTACTCCTAAAAGATATGAATTAGTATGGTAAAAAATTATATTACACCCTACAAAATTAGCCATAGTTTTACTACACTTAACCATACTTTAGTTTAACAATGGCATTTGTGGTAACAACATAATTATACAATCGTTATCCCTCCAATAAATATGAAAGCCAAAAGCTTCACTTCCCTCATGCTGTCAAAAACATTTTGTTTCTCCTACAGAGTATCAAAAACCGGATCCAATCCTGAATGAAAGTATGTGCATTTTTTCAATGTTGTCATGGTCGTTTTTCTCTGCACTTCTCCACCTTTTGGATATAAATGAATGTAATTATTAGCCAAATGTCATGTCATAAGGTTGATTAATCCATTATATTGTGTCATTTGTAATTTTAGCTTACTTCCAATACATGGCAGACGTGATACCCAAGATCACTGCTCTTCCTCGTTCCTGTGTTGTGATACCGTGCAGTTTCACTGCTGAAGATGAACATCTCACTCGACTTCGTGTTCGTTGGGTCAACAAAAAGGGTGGCTACATGTATCACACTGACCCGGTGGACGTCTTGGACAACTTCAAAGGCCGCACAAAACTCCTCGGAGACCCGGATGAGCAGAACTGTACTCTGGAGATGGACGATGTACGAACTCATGACAACGGGCCGTTTTGCTTTCAAGCTGAAAAAGAAAAAGAGAAATACAGCTTCAACAACAGCTGTGTGTTCATCATAATGCGAAGTGAGGAAATATGATCACTCACTAATGTTCAGTTTCTAATGTATTTAATGCAAGTCTTTACAAAACTGATTTAATGTCTTTATTGTGTCTTGAAGAAACGCCGGACACACCAGTGATATCACCCCTCCCTAATGACATCGAACCCGGGACAGCAGTCACTGTTAAATGTTCAGTCAAACACACATGCTCCTCTCACCCTCCTGAAATCATATGGAGTGTGCCAACTGTTCGAGAAACTATCAGCCACAATCCCATGGACGAAGGGGTCTGGGAAACAGTGTCCACTGTGAACTTTATTCCCACCGGATATGAAGAGGAAGATAAAATTGTCTGCAACGCCAAATTTTGGGGTGGTAAAACACAGAGCAACAGTTCTGCCCCCCTGAGTGTTAAGAGTAAGTAAAGGCCTATGTATTGGTCTGTGTGGTTAAATAGATTAATTACATTTATCATTCATCATAATACACTAACAATATTGTTCTAGGAGTTCGAGGGATTAAATCAAAGATAATAGTGCTTTACGCCATTGCTCCCTCGTTGGTTTTCATCCTCATTTTTGTGCTCGCTGTAGTCTTCATATCCAAGAGACAACACAGGTGACTGTATGGCTTATTCACATCCTTCAGAGTCTCTGTAATTGAAACCATTTTTGTGTGTGTGTCATCTCCATTCTGAGCAGAGCTTTATGCAAACATAATATTTTTTTAAAAATCATCAGTCCATGGGTGATCCTGATGAAGGCAAGTTCACCGAAATGCGCATATGTGATGCACATGAGTGCTGTTGTTGTCAAATTGATGCTAATAAGTGCGGTTTATTTATAAACTAATTTCGAGAAGACCACATGCTTATGATCAACATGGCTGGCACCTCATTAGCTCTGTAATCTGCCCTATTAGATAATTATGCCAGCATTATAAATAACCAGAGTCTTGAAGCTTTCCCCTCTTCCACTCCTACTTCCCACCCCTTTTTATCTGATAGGGTGACACGGTGGCCCAGTGGCTAGCACTGTTGCCTCACAGCAAGAACACCTTTGGTCCAACCTCCTATCGGGCTCATTGTTGTTTCTGTGTTTCCATGTTCTCCCTGTGTTCGCATGGGTTTCCCCTAAGTTCCCCGGTTTTCTCCCACCGTCCAAAAACATACACCATAGCAATCGACTAAACCAAAGTATCACCCAAGACAACCTTAGTTTATTATTCTCACATGGCGACAAGCAGGGGAGTTCAAGCTCAGGTAGGTTTGGAGAACTCCCCTGCTTGTCGCCGTGTGAGAAGTTTAAACTATTTTGAAATACTACAATGTCAAGAAGTCACTTTGTTAGTACAGTACAGTGAAATTGAATTTTCAACATCAAAAGATCAATATCAACATCCCATAATGCAATTCACAACCATAAATAAGCACAAAATACGGAAAACTGTTAATTAACAGATATTTTTTTACAGTGTGGATTTTATAATAACTTTTAACTTGTAACCTTTGAAAGTCTTAAAGCCTAAAGTCCTGAAATGTTTGCTTTGTGATTAAAGTATGTCTTTGGATATATTAAGGCATATTGCTGTCAGATGTACATATAGTCTGCAGTATTGCATTAAGTTCAATGTACTTGCTGCTGCTCACTAATTTACCACCATTCTAATTTCTCACTTTTGCATTGTCAGTTCTGATTGTAGACAGCCTTATCGTGATATGCAAGGGTCACAACCACAATATGAACACAGGTGTGTATGACTTATTAATCAAATTTCACTCATTACTACAAATTTCACTTGCAATTACGCAGCAATCTTAACCCTCTTAACTCTCTTGCATAGGAGATCAATGTGGAACAGATTCTCGAGGTCGTAGAGCTTTCTATATGGCATTTATGCTTTCATGTTTGTATTTGGTGCTGCGGGTTAAACTTTCAAATTCTTCCCCAGTCGTTTTAACATGCCTGATGAAAGAGCAGCTTGGACTAACAGAGGAAACAGGAATCAAATCAAGCAAAATGCTCCTGAAAGACCACCAAAGCCTGATCAAAGGCAAGATAAAAATCTATTTATGGTTTTACAAATATCCCTTACAATTTTTTTGTGTGCTTTTTAAATAATGCATGAATATTTGAATGTCACTTCTCTTAACAGAAGGAGTATCTGGAGCCGATTTTCGAGGTAATCAGTATTTTTGTGTTACATGGTTCATTATTAAATAATAAAAGCCACAACTTTTTTTGCACTTTCATTATAGACGCCAACCACCCACAACTGATCTGAGAGTGGAGTACAAGTGAGTATTTTATTCTTTTTTTTAATTCTTTATTATATAATTATTGTTACATAATAAATACTTTATTTATTCTTATTTATGTAAGATAGGGAGCCTTACATTTATTTAATAACAACAACAACAAAGACATAACTCCCTCAATCAGTCAATTAAAATAGCTCTCTTTTCCCATTAGGGATATACATTATATATAAGCATTTAAAGGGCACCAGTTTTATCCTTTATATACTGTATGTATATATATATATATATATATAAATAAATCTTTTGTGTCTCCAGAATGTGTCTGTGAAGTTTCAGCTCAAAACGTCCATCAGATTATTTATTATGATTTTTTTAATCTGGGAAATGTGAGCTGTTTGGACATTGTAGCTGTTTTTGTTGCCTGTGCCATAGTGTCACAGCCATAGCCTTCATGTAGTCAAACAGCTCAGTGACAGACTAAAATGAATAGCAGATCTCCCTTACTACGGTAAGAACTTTCACAACGATTATTTGATGTATTTGTTGTGCCGTTATTTTAAGCCTTTTTAAAGCACACAATGACATTATAAAGTTTGCTTGATTTTTGATAGTTTGATAGATATACTATCTGTATTACAAACATGCAGATTTAAAAACGTTTCAAACTTGTAAAACTCGTTGATCACATTTGATGATGATTGATGATCACAGAGAGCTGAACAGATCTTTTAATCCCAGTTGCTTTGAGCCCGTCCTGTCTTATTGATATGATTTACGTGTTACTATGGAGACATGTTAATACTCGGCTGTCAATCAACTTGGTGGGCAGGGAAACCACACTCCTACGTCATGTTGCGGTGAGCCTCAAAATGGGAAGAATTTGGATCCTATTTTAACGTCAGGAAATTAAAAAAGAGACTTAGGCCCAATCCCAATTCTATTTTTGTACCCCTACCCCTTACCCTTTGCCTTTAAACCCAAGTGTAAAGGGGAAGGGCTTCAAAATTTACCCCTAAGAAAGGGGACACCAATACAGCACCTGCACACGTCATCATATGTCATTGTGATGTCATGTTTCATGTAAAATCAGACGATAGCGAATGCTGTAGTTATTCCACTTGTTTTATTTTTTTTCTATTTATCTTCACTAAAGGCATATATTATGTTATCATATTGATCTAATGTGGCAATACGATTTTTTAAAGCATGACGTTAAAACATGAACGCAGTTATGAATATATAAAAACATATGTTTGTTTGTTGTAAAAATTCATAACAATGACAAAAAAATACTAATTTGTGGATACTTCCGTGAGAAGCCATGCTGCCGTTGTGGCTGGTGTATTCAGGGAAATTTTCTTACCCCTTGGTTTCAAATGTGGTTCTGAAAGATCTCCATTCGAAGGTCTATCTTCCTCTTCCCCTTATTCCTACGCCTTCAGGCTAAAGAGAATTGGGACACCCCTACCCCCTTCATGGAAACGTGCAAAATGAGGGGTAGGGGTAAGGAGAAGGGCTAAGGGGTAGACTTGGGATCGGGCCTTATTGTCTTTATATCTCCCTAATATGACTGTGGACACACTATACCTTCATACCGTTCTGTCTGAATACCTTACAAAAAAGATTTTCATCATAGGTGCCCTTTAAATAAACAAATAAATAAATAAATACGTTTTTGAATTGTTATTTTTATTAGAAGTTTTATTCTAAATTTCCAAGCCTGGCATATATATGAACCTTCTCTTTTCACAGGGCAAACAACACATGTACAGTGTCTGGAAACAAGCATTTCTCCAAACCTCATATGCCGTCACCAATGAGGTACATTTGAACCAGCAAGTACATTTGAGTCGTAGTTATAAATTCATAATATTTATGCTGCACGGCACAAATAAATACTATTGAATGCAGTGTGTCACAATAAATATTATTAATCAATAATAATATTCTTAAAATAATTTGTAGACATTTTGTAAGCTGTGTTTTGATCGCTGCACGTGTACCAAGTAAAATGTTTCTTGCAGTAATAATGTACATAATTCAGAAGGGCACTATTTGTTCTTTATAGAATATGATTCAAGATTTTTTTTTTATAAAAAAAAAACTGTATGGAGGATTTTTTTAATAAAACATTTTTTTCTATTTTCCCCTGCACCCCAGTGTGCCAAAATCCTGTCATGTGAGTATATTTATACACTTATATCTCTATAACTTGTTCTTACAGTACATTTTCTTGCTTCCAGAAAAGATCTAAAGTATGACTGTCCACTGTGTCTCTTTTTTATTTAAGGGTTATTATTGAAATGCTGATTGGAGCAAGGCAATTACATCAGAGTTAAGTTTGTGCTCCAACAGATAGATGCTGTCAATATCATATCGTTCATCATAAATGAAGCAGAATTGATTCAGATTTTTTTTAGTTTTATACTGTAGTAAATGTTTAATTTTAAAAACTAACTAAACTAAAATATTTTTGAGGCTGTAAATTGTATTCACTGTTGTAAACAAGCTTTTATGCTTCGCAAACGATTTTGATATATTATTCTGTCGTTCAACATCCTAGAATGCTTGGTCATCATCATCTCACATTTTTTTACATTCCTACATGATTTACATTTTGTATTTGCATTGTATTTGACAATAACTCTTAGATTTTTAGATTCAAAACTTGAATTTTTTATATAAAAATAAAACTGTTGACCTGGAAGCAAAAAACAGGCTGCTTTTTATTTCAATTGTTGTCAGATGCTTTAACACTTGATATGTCTTCAGTACACAAGTTTCTTTTTTAAATCATTGGTATAAATTAGATTGTGTTGTTTTTTTTTAATCAAGCCATCTTGAGAATATGGATTTATGTTACCATTGAATAAATCTGTGTTAATCAGTCAGTTTGTCTGAATTATTTCCTGTAGTCAAGTTTGGAATGGGGAAAAACACATTTGTGCCACTAGATGGCGGGCCACTATTGTGTTAATACTTTGTTTATGTTCAGGGAGTGAGGTGAGTTTACTGTTTTTTTCTTTTTAAATATTGCAGGTAATGTTGTCGATTTTCATTGCAGATTCTTTTTTTTTTTTATATTTTTGGTCAGTGGCCTCCAGGAACGTGGTTGAACTTGAGAAACATAGTGTATATACAAGACAGCAGCGAGGACTATTTGATGACGGGAGCTAGGGCGTAGAATTAGCATGAACGCAGGTGATGTGTCCCCACCAATATCCACCAATTACTGAATTGTCTCTACCAATAATTTAATCGCTTTTAAAATGAAATAGAATAAAAGGACATGCAGAAAGGGTTAAATCACCTTCTCTTCTTTTCTCTGGTCCTCACTACCCCAAACACATATGGACAGTGTGATTGGCTGTGCCTTTTTCTGCTGTTAAGTACTAACAGCTGTAGTTTCGGATAAGAAGTGGAAGTGGGAAAACAAGGGGATTTCCAGTCCTCCTTCACTGTGCAAGACGTGGATATAAGGAGCTACTTTTCAAAGAAAAATGTAAGTCACTTTAATGGTGCTTTCACAATTGTAAATAGATTGGAATTTGTTCCGAAATTAAAAGTTGTTACAATTAAAATTGTTACAATGCATATTTTTGTTCTTGGTGCGGTTTGCTTTCACACGGCAAAGTTTCTAAACGGACCAAAACAGTAAAAAAATTGTCTCATTGGTCAGAGTTTCTAAGTTTTTTTTTTATCCCACGGATTCCACTCAGCGGTCATATGTTGTAGTTTTAATTTATGATGATGAGAAAAAAGACTTTATGACCACTTAAATTTTGACACCCACAGACATCATCACTAAATATAAGTCAGAGATGTAAAACTTTCTCATACATAGCCTCTTTTCAGTTGTAAATGTTTGTAAAAATCTATCTATTAAGTCAATCTATTTAAAAACAAATGTTGGCTAGAATTATGCATTACAGAAATAACAGATGAACAGATTCTGCAGTCAGATCATAAAGGTGATTAATGTTGGTCTTTTTTTCGAGGTGTCAGTGCAGAAATGAACAAAACAGGCATAATACAAAAGCTTAAATATGAAAAAAAATATCAGATAGTAATTTCTGTAAGTTTTCTTCATGGATAAACAGCTTTGTAGTTTTTCAGCATGCTTTCACTTTCATTTTCGACATGAAGCACACATTTACCGTTATTTCAATGTGGAGATGTCATTGGTTCAAAAACATTTCCTTCTTGTTGTCAAACTATTTTATGACTGTAACAAGAGGCAATTTAATCATATCTTAACATTAAACAGCTGTCATAACGTTATTTATCTATATGTGGACATTTTTGGATACTTGGAAGCATTGGAAATTAAAATGTAATACAGGAAATAGGTTAGGACTATTGTTATCGTTTACATCCCTCAAAATGGTCTATAGCAGGTCGGTAAAGTTGGTTTTAGGTTTGATATTCGCCAGACATTCGCATGCATCTTAGGGATGCATATCTATAGGGATCTTTAGCGAATTACATCGCCAGAACCAAAACGTACAGTAATGTAGACATTATAAGACATTATAAGCACTTAAATTTTGACACCCATAGACATCGTCACCAAAAATCAGAGACTTTCTCAAACATAAACTTTTTAAAAACTTTCTCATACCTAATTTCATTTGTCAATGGTTGTAAAATATATCTATTAAGTCAATCTATTAAAAAACGTTGACTAGAATTATGCATATAAATAACTGAACTGATACTGCAGTCAGATTATAAAGCTGATTAATGTTGGTCTTTCTTTCGAGGTGTCAGTGCATAAATGAACAAAACAGGCATAATACAAATAATTAAAAAATATATGATGGTAAATTCTGTAAGTTTTCTTCATGGATAAACAGCTTTGTAGTTTTTCAGCATGCTTTCACTTTCGTTTTCGACATGAAGCACACATTTACCGTTATTTCAATGTGGCGATGTCATTGGTCCATGAACATTTCCTTCTTGTTGTCAAACTATTTTTTGACTGTAACAAAAGGCAATTTAATCATATCTTAACATTAAAACAGCTGTAATAACATGTGGACATTTTGGACTCTTGGAAGCATTGGAAATTATATATGTAATACAGGAAATAGGTTAGAACCATTGTTGTTGTTTACATCCCTCAAAATGGTCTATAGCAGGTCGGTAAAGTTGGTTTTAGGCTTGATATTTGGCGGACATTTGCATGCAATTTTAGGGATCATTTGCGAATTACATCGACAGAACCAAAACACACAGTAACGCAAAGCAAAAAAAAAATTTTCTAAAAGATTCCAGTATATGGTTAATATACCTCTAACAATATGATACATACAACGCAGAAAAAGGCAGTAAGAGCCCACTTCATTTTTTATGCCACAATGATGTAGGCTATATAACACACAGGATCTCTATCCTTAAACAGCAATTTATGATCAAAATATAAATATTTATGTAATTGGAACTGCTATTACAAAGCAAACAAAACACCAAGACAGTTTCGGTTTTGACCCTTAAAAATAGGCTGCACGGTGGCACAGTGGGTAGCATGTTCACCTCACAGCAAGAAGGTCGCTGGTTCGAGCCTCAGCTGGGTCAATTGGCATTTTGTGTTTGCTTGGCTTTCCTCCAGGTGCTCCAGTTTCTCCCAAAGTCCAAAAACATGCGGTACAGGTGAATTGGGTAGGCTAAAATGTCCGTAGAGTATGAGTGTGAATGAGGTTTGTGGATGTTTCCCAGGAATGGGTTGTGGCTGGAAGTGCATACACTCTGTAAAAAAACGTACTGAATAAGTTGGCGGTTCATTCCGCTGTGGCGACCCCGCATTAATAAAGGGACTAAGCCAAAAATAAAATGATTTAAATACATAGGACATAAGGCAAGCATTTAATGATAAAAATAGAGTTATTCAAAGAGGGAAATGTTATTGGAATTTTTTTATTGTGAAAGGTTAATTGGAGAAAAGCATGTCTGCTACAATACAAATTTTGCATTTCAAATAAAGTTAGAGAAATTCATTTAAACATTTTCATAAAATATACCCAACCAACGTGTTACTTTCCAAATTTTTTGTAAAAATAGTGAGGAATCCTTACAGAATGTCACTTATTTGTTGATTGTCAGAGTGTGGAATTATTTTGGAAAGACTGTTTTTCTGATTATTCTGCTAAAATAATATGTTGATAGCATAAATGTAAAATAAATTGTTTGTTATTTAGAAAATGGTGATAAACAAATTAACAATGTTGTTAATTTTTTTATTTTAAATTATTTATCCTCTAATGTACACTTTTAAAATGAAGTGTCTTAACGTCTATATGAAAGCATCTGACTGTCAGTCTTTGACATGACTAGGCTTTGCTCGTGTATTTTTTCTAAGTGAGGTGTAAATCACCATCATGCATGAATAAATTATATTTTTGCACTTTTAAAACATACACTGTAATAATCTATGATCACATTGCACAATACTGAAACTGCATGTCAGAATAACACATTAATAATATTTTTAAGAGCCCCCAAAATTTGCTGGGGACAAAGCATAAAAATAAGTAGAAATATTTTACTTGGCATTAAATTTCAGATTAATGTATGAACACTGTATCGGCATTTTCAAATATTTAAACAAAGATTGTTGTATATGCAAAGAAATACATATTTGACTTGTTTTTTTGCCTCTTCAGTTTCTAGAGTTCAGGGCAGCATGGGTGTACGGACAGGAGTTTTTCTCTTTTGTCTTCACGGTATGATTTTAATATAATGTAATGTACTTGTTACTCTTACTTGTCATTTTTAACAAATATTATTAAATTGTAAATATATATTTATAATAATTCACAAAGAAATTATGAGTTGCTGTTAATTTACTCATGCATGTGCCATCCAAAATGTGCTTATCTTTATTTCAGTACAATATTATTATTTAGATTTTTATCTGAACTGATTTTAGTAAAAAAAAAAAAAGACTTAACAAAAATATGCAATACTTATTACATTGACATCTTGTGAATTCAAAGAATGGATTGGTTTAAGAAGCCTAATATTATCATTAAAATATTATCATTTGTAATCAATTTTTAAACGCTCAAAGTACCTGTAAGTTTATGAATCATAATGGATCAGGATATCAGAAAAAAAAAGAGACTTATACAAAATAATTTTCTGCTAAAGAAAAAAGTCACCAACATCTGGGCCTGAACGTGAGAAAATTACCAGCAACTTCATTTTTGGTTGAATTGTTCTTTAAACTTAAGAGCAGAAGTTTTCACTGATTTATTTATTTTTTTTGCAGTTCTTTGTGCAGTAGTGCTTGCTGATGTTTGGAAGGTGGATGTAGAGCATAAAATGAAGGCTCTGGTCTCGTCTTGTGTGGTGTTGCCCTGTAACTTCACATACCCTGTTCATCAGCAGCAGCAGCCCTCTTATCGTATTAGAGGCATATGGCACAAGATGAACAAATGGGATGACATCATCTTTTACGGAGACAAGACACTGGTTGAAGACAATTTTAAAGGTCGTACAAGACTGATTGGTTCACTTGGTAGTTTCAACTGCTCCTTGGAGATTGATGAAGTGAAAAACACTGACAATGGCCCGTATTGCTTCAGGGTGGAATTAGAAACAGCTCCAAAAGACAAGTACTCTTTTGTGGATAACTGTGTGTCAATTACAACAATTGGTAAGTGTGCTTGTGAGATCTGTTGTAAAACCTTGTTTAAATTGTTTGCCTTGTTTACAAATAACACAGTACAAAATAGAGGGAAAAAAATGTGTTTTGTGATTGGGAATATGGATATAGAGGAAGCACCAAAACCTATGCTGGAGGCTGAGACGTCTGTTCTTGAGGGCGAACCTGCAATCTTCAAATGCTCTGTCAGACACACCTGTCCAACCTACCAGCCCTCTTTTAGCTGGAACCGCGCAGGAAAAATCATCTCAAGCTACAATGACTTGGGTCATGGAAACTGGGAAGCAGAGTCTCTCCTGACCTTCACCCCAACAAAGGAGGACAATTACACCTCTATCGAATGCACAGTCAAGTACCACGGGAATGTCAAGGGTGAAATGAAAGCCAGCCGCCCTGTCTTTGTTAAAGGTATTGCATAAAACATTTCTAGAATTTGATGTACAGTGCGTCTGGAAAGTATTCATAGCGCTTTACCTTTTCCACATTTTTTTTTAATGCTATAGCCTTATTCCAAAATAGATTAAATTTATTTATTTCTTCAAAATTCTGCACACAATACTCCATAATGACAAAAATGAAAAAAAGATTATTTAAAATGTATTAAAAATAAAAAAAGCTGAAAAATACACAAGTATTCACTGTCTTTGCTCGATACTTTGTTGATGCATCTTTGGCAGCAATTACAGCCTCAAGTCTTTTTGAATATGATGTCACAAACTTGGCACACCTGTCTTTGGGAATTTTTGCGCATTCCTCTTTACAGTACCTCTCAAGCTCTATCAGGTTGTATGGAAAGCGACAGTGTACAGTCATTTTCAGATCTCTCCAGAGATGTTCAATAGGATTTAGGTCTGGGCTCTGGATGGGCCACTCATGGACATAAACTGAGTTGTTGTGAAGCCACTCCATTGATATGTTGGTTGTGTGTTTTGCGTTATTGTCTTGTTGGAAGATGAACCTTTTCCCTAGTCTGAGGTCAAGAGCACTCTGAAGCAGGTTTTCATTCAGGATGTCTCTGTACATCGCTGCATTCATTCTGACTAGTCCACCAGTTCCTGCTGGTGAAAAACATCCCCACAGCATGATGCTGCCGCCACCATGCTTCACTGTAGGGTAATGAGCGGTGCCTGGTTTCCTCCAAACGTAACACCCGCCATTTACTCTGAAGAGTTCAATTTAGTCTCATCAGATCAGAGAATATTGTTTCTTGTGGTCTAAGAGTCCTTCAGATGATTTTTTGGTAAATTCCAGGCATGGGAGTGGCTTCTGTCTGGCCACTGTACCATACAGACCTGATTGGTGGATTGCTGCACAGATGGTTGTCCCTCTGTAAGGTTCTCTCTCTTCACAGAAGAATGCTGGAGCTCAGAGTGAACATCGGGTTATTGATCCCCTCCCTAACTAAGGCCCTTTTGCCCTGATCACTCAGCTTAGATGGCCGGCCAGTTCTAGGAAGAGTCCTGGTTTCAAACATCTTCCACTTATGGATGATGGAGGCCACTGTGCTCATTGGAATTTTCAGAGCAGCTGAAAATTTTTTCTGTAACCTTCCCCAGCCTTGTGCCTCAAGACAATCCTTTCTCAAAGATCTACAGACAATTCCTTTGTCTTCATGCTTGATTTGTGCTTTGACACGCAGTCAACCCTGGGACCTTATATAGACAGGTGTATGCCTTTTCAAATCATGTCCAATCAACTGAATTTACCACAGGTGAACTCCAGTTAAGCTGCTGAAACATCTCAAGAATAATCAGTGGAAACACAATGTACCTGAACTCAATTTAGAGCTTCAAGGAAAAGGCTGTGAATACTTATGTACATGTGATTTTTCAGCTTTTTCATTTGTAATAAATTTGCAACAATTTCAAAAAATCTTTTTTCACATTGTCATTATGGGGTGGAGATCTCCGCGAGACAAAAGTTTGAATCCCGCTCCCGCCAGGTTTTAGCCTGAACAAAGCTCTCTCTCTCTCATTCGCACACACACACACACACACACACACACACACACACACACACACAGCAACAAGCAAGCTGAATGCAGCATCACACTGTTTCATTCGCACATATGCATACGCGTGCTCGCTCGCTCGGGAGCGATATTGTTAGACTGCCCGCTCCCGTCCAAAATTAAACCAGTTACAGACCGCTCCCGCGCTTTATTCAGAAATTTATTCCCGCGCCGCAGAAATCTGGTCTAACCCTGACCGCGGAATGCATTTAAAAAATGCATTTTATTATCATTGACATATATTGCTAAGTGTTTGAGTTCATGTCTTGTAGGTGATCTAATACATTTTTATTTTTTTAAATGTGTTATTGTCTGTCAAATGTGAATTTATGTGTTTCTGTTCTTTTTTTTATAAAAGCTGAACGTTATGATGATGAAATATCTGAAGAGAATTCAACTTGCCAAATGAAGACTGTGGACTTCACATCAGGCTAAGATAGAGCATGCATTCCTGTTACATATTGTGATTCATTTTATGGCCAGCCTATCATAGTTTAAACCATAGAAGTCAGATCTATTAGCCCTCCTGAATAATAATATAGTCCCCCTATATATTTTTCCCCTTTATTTTTGTTTAACAGAAAAAAATAACACAGAGAAACACATTTCTAAACATAATAGTTTTAATAACTCATTTCTAAAAACTCATTTCTTTTATCTTGCAATGATGACAGTACATAATATTTTACTGGATATTTTTCAAGACACTATAATTCAGCCTAAAATGTAATTTAAAAGCTCAACTGGGTTAATTAGGTTAACTAGGCAGGTTAAGGTAATTAGGCAAGTTATTGTATAACAATGGTTTGTTCTGTAGACAGTCAGGGAAAAAAAATGCTTAAGCGGCTAATAATTTTGACCTTAAAATGGTTATAAACAAATTGAAATGCAACAAATAAGACTTTCTACAGAAGAAATATATATATATATATATATATATATATATATATATATATATATATATATATATATATATATATATATATATATATATAAGAAATACTGTGAACAGTTCATTTCTCTGTTAAATTGTTTAGGAAATATTTGAAATAAAAAAACAATTCACAGGAGGGCGAATCATTTTGACAGACCCTTTTCACATTTCCAGGTTTCTCAGTTGCAGAAGTTGTCATAGTTGGGTAAATTTAAAGATAATACAACAAATATTTTTTTACAATACTTTGTATACATTTTTTTTTTCTAAATATTCAAAACTTTTAAAGATTTAAGATGCTGATGACCGTTAAACATGTCATAACAGTCTTATAAAATATGTCCACTGTATATATATATATTTTAAAGCCAAAATTATTAGCCCTCCTGTGAAATTATACTATTTTCAAAATTATGTTTCAAAGACCAAGGACCCTTTCACAGTGTTCTATATATATATATATATATATATATATATATCTTTTTTATTTAGATACATTGCACTTTAAACTGAGTACTTGTATCTTAATTAGTGATTAATTCATTCATTTTCTTGTCGGCTTAGTCCCTTTATTAATCCAGAGTCGCCACAGCGGAATGAACCGCCAACTTATACAGCACATTTTTACACAGCGGATGCCCTTCCAGCCGCAACTCATCTCTGGGAAACATCCACACACACACTCATACACTACAGACAATTTAGCCTACTCAATTCATCTGTACCGCATGTCTTTGGACTGTGGGGGAAACCAGAGCACCCGGAGGAAACCCATGCGAACGCAGGGAGAACATGCAAACTCCACACAGAAACGCCAACTGAGCTGAGGATCGAACCAGCGACCTTCTTGCTGTGAGGCAACAGCACTACCTACTGTGCCACTGCGTTGCCCTTAATTAGTGATAACTAGAATTTTTTTTTTATTTTATTATTAAAATATATCTCTGTTAAACAGCAAAAGGGAATTATTTGGAAAAAAAAAATCACAGGCTAATAGTTTTGCCTTTAACTGAATATATACGTACATACATATGTATTTGCATGCAGCACAATGCTTTCCTTACAAATGTTATGCAAAATAATAATTGATGCTCATAATGTATTCTTGAAATAATACTGGATCATTATAAATCAGAGGAACATAACCCTTTTTATACAAAAATCTGATATATGACATGCACGTATATATTTCACATATATAAAATTGTCATACATGTATGTGAAACATTTATTTAAAAAAAAATGTCAATCTCAAAAAACAAAATTTCTATTAAAAACTATATATTTTTATCTTGCTCTTACTTTTTTATGATTTTTTTGTATTATTAAAATTGCATTTAATATCTTCTCCCAAAGTATTAGTTTGGGTGTACTCATTTTTGAACTGTGGTCTGCTTTTTTTCATGACAATGCATAATCAGATGCAAAATAATTTTTGTATCCTAAATGTTTAATAAAGTGAAAATCAACACATCCTCAGTTATCATTTTGTATCTGTGTTTATTTAAATGACTTGCTTTAAAGCCTGGAGTCAGATTTAGTCTGTAATGATAAAAAAGTAACAGTGAATCACCAATCATGTGAACAGCCAATAATACATAGTGTGAGTCAAAATGATAGATTTTTAATTTATGCAAAAATCATTTGATAATTATATAGATCCTGTTCATTCATGACGATTTGTAAATTTCATTCTGTAATTTTTTCAAAACTTATATTTTGATTAGATGTATTGCTGAGAATGGAATTTGGACAGTATTTAAGGTGATTTTTATATTGTTTTAAACTCTTAGATTCCAGATTTTTAAAAATTGTTGTATCTCAGCTAAATTTGATCATATTCAAGCAAATCCTGCACCAATGGAAAGCTTTAAAATTTTTTCTTATTGTTGTATAGAATGTATAATTTAAGATATTTATAGAATTCTATTTGGTCCAATCCCAATTCTACCCCTTAACCCTTCCTCTTAAATCACAGCCAAGCTTGTGCTCCAATAGGTGGATGCTGTCCATATCACTTTATCCAAATCTGTTCATCATAACCCAGACAGCACACATACGTTGGGCCGACATCGGCCAAGGGTCAAAACGTCGGCCCCTTTAACTCTAACATCTATGGTGGGCCAAGCATACGCATGATAATTCAGTCGTGTGTTCTATTTTCTCAGCTTATCAAACGTCATCCCAACATCAGCCGGACAGTGTTTTCAATCATACTGTATGTCGACGTTGCGGCGACATATTGCCAATTAGCAAACGTTTCCTGAGCAACATCGAGCTGATGGAATTTTGAAAATTGGCACAACGTCAGCCCAATGTATGTGTGCTGTCTGGGAAATGACACATAAAACATTTGCACTTTGAACCAGCTAGAGTTGGCTTATTAGGAGTAACCACCAGACATTTATCTTTAGAAAAATAAAAAAGTTAATAAAAGTCTTCTTTTGAGACTTTAGTTTGGGTTGATGTTTAATTTTTTTTTCTCTTTTGTGTACATTTCAACACTATTAGGCAGCTATACTCTGTAAAATCCAACAGTCAACTTAAGCAAACTGTGTGTAGTTAACTCAAAATTTATCACATATAATCATTTGAAAAGAGTTTTGAACTCAGTGTTAAAGGTAATGAGTTAATTAAATACCTCATTACTTCAACTTAAATTGAGTAAGTTCACAGTACTAATATATATTAGTTTTTTTTTTTCACTCAAATGGTTTGTAGCAATCGGTTTTCTCAAACGGTTTGAGTTGCCGTAACATTGGGTTTTACAGTACAGCTGGTTTAAGTTCTCTTCATTTATTGGGTTTACTGTGCTCAAATCGCTTTGTTTACTCAAATGGTTTAAGTTCACAGTACTCATTTAGATTAGTTTTTGCACTTAAATGGTTTGTTGCAATCGGTTTCCTCAAACGGTTTGAGTTACCTTAACTTTTTTGAGTTTTAATGCACAAGCAGTTAAGTCATTCTTTTTAAAAATTACTTTTATTCGAAAAGTAAATGATTATAATAAACCAACTCATTGTATACAGTTTTAAAAATATTTTTTTCACTGATTGTTTAGAGTTAAATGTAAGTACTTTCATAATTTATATAGAGCAACATGGAGAATTGGAGACATGTTGATACTTTAGGGTTTAAGCATTTATTTCATTATGAATGAATGAATTCCATAGTTTGCTGTGCTTAATTCTAGATTGTTCCCCAATCATCGTGTTTGAGCAGGGAATGAAGAATGATAGAAGAGGAAAGAGGAAACAATGATAAATTTAAGCAAAAGACACTCTCACTTCTGAGTTTGGCAGTTTCTAATCGTTACATGGCACAGCTGAAGACAACTAAAACTTCCCTTTAGACTGGCGAAGATGCCCAGACTGGCATTTCCCTCCTGCATTGGACACAATATAGCTTGCTTTCAACATTTCAGCGGATTGGAGTAAAACTGCAATCATTTTGATTTGCGAGTATGACAGGACTTTTGTTACTTCATTTACTTTTCCAAGGTACAGTGTTTATTTTCCTTAACTTCTATATTTCTGTTCATTTATTCATTAAGTTGGTCACTTAGTTTTAAGTTTCAGTTCTTCCTTTAGACCAGCCAGTTTAACAGTAACTTTTGCCTCATTTAACACCTAACTTGCTGCCTTTTAATAGTTAGTATTGCAGTAGTTCAGTTTAGCTAATTAGGTAGGATAAGGAATGTTGAATATGTTATTTTTAATATATGTTATTAATAGTCTCTACTTCAATTTGTGACTGAATCGCCACTAATGATGTATATTATTTTTCTAATAATTTTCTGACATACTGTATCACTATGATTTCAGTTACTCAACAGATTCATGTTTAAAAATAAAACCAAATGAAAACAGATGAGATGTGTAACTATACACAGGAACTGTTTGAGGATACAAACCTGACAAATGTCTTGAATTACAACATCTGAACAGTGTCTTTATCTCTGATCACCGTAGAAGCAGAATAATTGACTCCTGTCCATTGAATTACACAGTGTGCAGCTCATGCATTCAATGGTGTCAGTTATTGCTTGCATAAGAAACAATATGTGTATAAAAGAACAGCAGAAATAAGTAACAGTTCAGAAAATTTCTCACACAGATACCAATAACATAAATACTGACAATATTAGTAGTAGAAGTAATAGTGATGATAAAAATATAACTTGTATTGCTAAACCATTAATGTTGTCCAATGTTTTGTCCAACAGCTGCTTTAGGATGGGAAGTGAGAATGCCAAAAGACATTCATGGTCTCCAAGGTTCCTGTCTGGTGATTCCATGTTCTTTCAGCTACACATTATACCCACCCAAAAACCCACGCAGAGTTGTGTGGTATCAGTGGGTTCCTGAAGGTTATCCTCTAGTTTATGATCCTTGGAATGCAAATGAAGTGATTGAGAAGTTCAGAGGAACAACAGATTTATATGGAAACTCAAGTTGGGATTGCAGTCTGCTGATCAGAAACCTGGAACAGTCCCACCATGGAGAGAAAATATACACATGGATTGACCCCGAAAATGTTGGATGGCGCACTTACAAATTTTATGACGTCACCTCTACAATTCTAGTGGATGGTAAGTCTGAAAACACATAGCTCTTCAAATTTGCTTGACTCCTTATCTAGTTATGCTACACTCATATTTATTGAAATAGATTTATTTGAAAAAACTATATGTGATTTGCATAAGAATTTTTTGACGACTAAATATGTTTTAAGAGAATGCGTATTTTAAATGACATTAGATAATAGTTTCTATTCAGCAAATATTTTAAGGAAAATGTTTAAAATATGTCTTCTGGAGGATCTTCTGGATCATTAATCAAACTAAAAGATTGTGGGTGACACTTTTTAGTTTTGTTATTTGCATGTTATTTGCGTAATAAATGTTCATTAAGAAACAAATATGATATGTTTTACACTCATTGGCCACTTTATTAGGTACACTTGTTCAAATGCTTTCTAACGTAAATTTCTAATCAGCCAATCACATGGGAGCAACGCAATGCATTTAGGCATGTAGATATTGCTGCAGTTCAAACTGAGCATCAGAAAAGGAAAGAAGGTTGATTTAAGTGACTTTGAACGTGGCGTGGTTATTGATGCCAGACGGGCTGGTCTTAGTATTTCAGAAACTGCTGTTCTACTGGGATTTTCACACACAACCATCTCTAGGGTTTACAGAGAATGGCCTGAAAAAGAGAGAATATCCAGTGAGCGGCAGTTCTGTGGTCGCAAATGCCTTGTTGATACCAGAGGTCAGAGGAGAATGGCCAAACTGGTTTGAGCTGATAGAAAGGCAACAGTAACTCAAATAACCACTCGTTACAACCGAGTTATGCAGAAGAGCATCTCTAAAGGCACAGCACATCAAACATTGTGGCTGATGGGCTACAGCAGCAGAAGACTACACCGGGTGCCACTCCTGTCAGCTAAGAACAGGAAGCTGAGGCTACAATTCGCACAGGCTCACCAAAATAGGACAATAAAAGATTGGGAAAACGTTGCCTGGTCTGATGAGCCTCGATTTCTGCTGCGACATTCGGATGGTAGGGTCAGAATTTGGTGTTAACAACATGAAAGCATAAATGAGTGATCACAAACTGCCAACTGATCATGCGGGGCCCCCCTGGGTACAGGCCTACATGACACATTTTCAGTGCCTAGTAATAGGGTACCCTTATGGCTTTTGTTGGCTTATTAATTACACTGAATATAGCACACACGATATATCGGATTTGGATTGGTGCCAACTGATTGATACCCGATCCAGCAAAAATATTCAGTATCGAACAAGTATCCAGATCGATGCATCCCTACTTGTAGCCATCAACAGTTCAGGCTGCTGGGGGTGGTGTAATGGTGTAGGGGAAATTTTATTGGTACACTTTGGTAACAATTAAGCATCATGTTAACACCACAGCCTACCTGAGTACTGATGCTGACTGTGTTGCCCTTTAAAAAGTTTCACTTTAATATATCTTCTTTAAATATTTTTCATGCATAGCCCTTTTATTAAACTGTGAAACTCATAATTATTGATTAATTCATCTATTTTGTTTGTATAAAGGAATACTTTTATTTTATGTTATAAGACACTTCATGTTTAGTCACTTCCTGTTAGTAGTGATGGTGAAATGAAGCTTTCTGAACCAGTGCTCGACTCAATTGTATTGGAAAAAGGTTCGTTACTCGAAGCTTTCTAAATCAGAGCTCGATGAGGACCTCTTCTAATTAAAGTGTGTTGCCATAATGTCTAATGTTCACAACTGACCAACTCATTCATGTAGTAATACAACAACAGCAATATAAACAAATTACTCAATTACTGTAGTTTTACACATAAGATATATTACATTACACCACTGATGACTGTAGTAACATCCAAGGTATTCAAAAGTTTATCATAGTACAACTTATCCTGCTCCAATCGGGGATCTAACCAGCGATTCCTATATGAGAGGCGAATGCTCTAGGAGGAGGCTATGTGAATGATGTGTATTGGCGACATTCACCAGCTGCTCTCTGTTAAACATAATGCTACGATATGCAGTGGTTTTCTTTAAAGATAGTTATAAAAAATACGCTAATTCACTTTAGTATGGTTCAAAACCTTTTTGCTATAAATTACTATTGTATTTTAGTTTAATAACTGGTGTGTGAGACAGGTGCAGTGCGTTGAAACAGTAGAAATGTATGTAATCGACGCCTAATCTCTTGCTATACACTTTACTAACCCATGAGGGTGTTTAAACCTTTGAATCAAAATTCGAAGCAGTTATGTGGGTTTAGGCGAAAATGAAGCTTCGGACGTCACTGATCACGTGATGATGGCAAAACGAATCAAGCTCCGGTACACTGCTTCACTGCGAGATATATTGTTTTTTTGATACATGCTTCGAAGCCTCGGCGCACAACGTCACATCACTACCTGTTAGTGTTCCTGGCTCTGTGTGAAAGCCATGTCAGACATGTGCTCTCTCGGACAAACTAAAGCATATGCTCAAAATCATCATAGAGGCAGTGCCGTAAGCTTATGTTTTGATCATTCAACATGTTAAAGACATTATGTCAGTGATTATTTTGTAAAAAAAAAAAAAAAAGAAGTTTGTTTACTATTGTAATCTCCGCCTTAAGAAGAACTGTAGTCTGTTTATGTTATGGTAACTTAAGTGCAAATATCAGTCAAAACACAGTTTCTGAGAATTGTTGTATTATTTTATTGCAATTTTTACCACAAATACTAGTAAGAAGAGTGACAGTAAACTATCAACCTTACTACGACTCTGACTCTGTTTATTGGCTATGATTTAAGTCGGTGTTTAGTCAGTTACAACATATTGCACGAGAACACTACACTGACCATGTCCATCCCCGTATGACCACAGTGTACCCATCTTCTGATGGCTACTTCCAGCAGGATAACACACCATGTCATGAAGTGCGAGTCATCTCAGACTGGTATCTTGAACCTGACAATGACTCACTGGACTCAAATGGCCTCCACAGTCACCAGATCTCAATCCAAAAGAGCACCTTTGGGATGTGGTGGATTTGGAAATTCGCATCATGGATGTGCAGTTGACAAATCTGCAGGAACTATGTGATGCTATCATGTCAATGAACCCAAATCTCAGAGGAATATTTCCAGTATCTTGTTGAATCTAAACGAAGGATTAAGGCAGTTCTGAAGGCAAAAAGGGGTCCAACTCCATATTACCATGTAGCTAATAAAGTAGTAAGTGAGTGTACTGTATATTGTACATTTAGTGTAGGTTTTCAGACATCCCAAGTTGGGAAAAGTCATTTCCGGGGGGATACAGAATTGATTTGCGTGAGGTAGCGGGATAGTGGGTGCCTGAAAAGGGGGGAAAGGTGTTGAGTAAGCGACGTATCTGAGTAGGGGGGGGGCGTGTGCGCGCGCGAGACGTGCCAAACGACGCAACATACCTGAAGAGCGAGGAGGGATGCGGTGGAGAGAGGGGTGTGCAACGTATTTAAGGACCGGGCAGAAGACGCGCGATTTCCGGGAGATTATCATTTATTTGCGGGCATCCGGGGGTTACTATGCAATTGAGGAAAACTCCCGCAACTTCCGAGAGACTTGGGATATCTGGGTTTTGCCATGCAGGGCCGGCCCGTAGCATAGGTAGTATAGGCAAATGCTAAGGGCGCTGTACATCCAGGGGGCGCCAGAAATTAGCGCGGTTAAGTTGGTTTTGTTCTTGATATTCCTGACACATTCAGTGATATACGGCAAAACCTCAAAAACCTCTTACCCTAAAAAGATCTAAAGTGTGTTTCCTACAAAAAGACAAATCTGGTTATGTTTCACAGCTGTCTTTCTTTCTTTTTTTTCGTTCGACATTATGACCACTGCTCTGTTTAGCCGGGAGAGCTCGTGCGGAGTGGAGCTCTCAGTAAGGAATCGTCGGAAAAGGGCTTATTTATTTATTTATTTATTTATTTATTTTTGCTCTGTCCTGCATGTTTTATTTTAAACACAACTAATTTTCTCTTAAATGAGCACAAACAGTTACTAAAGTAGTCGAATGCTTCATTCATTCATTCATTCATTTATATAGATCTGTGCATTCTTACATTAACATCTCTGTTATCAAACAAAACACAAAGAGATTCATTTGCTGCTCTTCACTAAATAACTATAGTAACTTTAATCAATATGCAAATACAATTAAAAGTGGAGTAGATTTCATAGCTTTATTTAATTTCTGTATAAGCCATTGTTTTTAATAGGTTAAACCTTTTTTTTATTGTCAATATTTTCTAATGGATGACATGTATTCTATCATTTGAAGCTATTTGTTGTCCCATATTTTTTACATCCCAGCGTTGACAGATATGGCATAACATTGCTAATCAATAAATAGGTATAGTGCTATCTTAACGTCAGCTAATGTTATAGAAGTGCATAGATGTTTTGGAAAATAGTAATAGTAATATAACTACCTACATCATTACTTCCTCAAGCAAATGTGTAAATATTAGATATATTCAGCAATAATGTTAATTACATTTTATTTTTATTTTATTTATCTGATGTTTTTCCAGCTTGTAGTAGTCGATCAAAAAGCTATTTAGTTTCTTATGACTATACACTAGCAGTGGAATTTACTGCGATGTGACGGGGCGCCACCTGAAATCTTGCCTAGGGCGCCAAATTGGTTTGGGCCGGGCCTGTTGCCATGCACTGTATATAGCCAGTGTTGCTGTTATGACATTAAAACAAAAATAAACAAATATCTAGTTATGCTACTACTGTGTTTACCTAACTTGTGGCATGTTTTACTATTTGTAGCACGTCCACAGCCACCCAGCATTAATATTTATGGAGGGGAAAGGCCCGGTGAAACTATTACAGTTGTGTGTTCAGCTTTCCACACGTGTCCATACAGCAAACCAAACCTCATTCTGAACGGCATTGAAGGATCTGACCAAATAGACAATGAGCACATTGAAGGCGGCCTGTGGAAAATCTCTCTGACACGTACAGGTGTCGCAAAAGCAGAAAGCTCAACTACTGAGTGTTCAGTAACCTATTATGGTGGCATAACAGTGGTGACTATGAAGGAGAAAACGGCACAAGGTAAGTGATCTATGCATGTATGGACATATATTTGAGTAATCACTGGCCTTTTGGTTTATAGTGATATTTTGAAGTGTACACTAATATTATTTTCCTATTGCTTTAGCAAGTGTCCTTAATGAGCAAGACCCAGCGCACTCTGAACTGAAGAATGTTGTGGTTCACATACTCGCTCCATTACTTGCTGTGTTCCTCCTTACTTGCATAATTGCTGGATTCATCATATACAAGAGGCGACAGCAGTAAGTCTTTTTGTGTTTGGTAATTTCTTGTTTAGAAATTGAGTTTAAATGTATTTCTTCTTTATTGAAGATTTGTAGCATGTCATTTTGTCATTATTTATTGTAGACAACCTCTTATTGGTGCACAAGAGTCGCATACACAACTTGAAGAGAGGTATGAATAACATATTCAATTCTTTAATTGTATTCTTATTAAAGGACTAGTCCACCCAAACATTTCATTCAGTCATTAATCACTCACCATAATCCCCTATAAGCAGCAATGATCCCAAGATGCTAGAAAAAGAACCAAATGTCTAGAAAAGGAACCAGAAACCTTCAGTGAACTTCAGTGGTTCACTAGTGATCTTACAAAGCTCCCAGAGAGCTGACAAAACTATAACTAGAACCTAAAGTTCATTGATAAACTTTGATGTTGGCTTGAGAAAGTCAAACGTTTATGGCATTGTTAGGTGGTTGCTAAGCAGTTGCTAAATGGCAATGCTTGTGTACATGTTTGATCAAATGCTAATACTTAGTAGGCATTTCTAGCATATGTTATTTCATTTAGATAATCATTCATAGCATGTAGCTAATCGTTATTAGCACTTGGCTTCCATTATCATTGTTACCATGCATAGTACACAGGAAGTCCCATTTGCTAGCATGAGTCAAACAAGCCAATGCCCAGGTCCCTACAATGTTCTGATGTAGAGATATTGCTATTTTTAAATGGTTGCTAGGTTATACTGTTTTATTGCTATGGGGACATTTGACAGGTTAGTGGTGATACATCAAAGCTTCTTGACAATATGAGTGATCTAAATCAACCCCGATGTTTATATGAGTGTCAAAAACTGGACTTGAACATTATGTATTCCTGGTGTTGGGTTGGGGTTGGAAGGGCATTTGCTGTGTAAAACAAATGCTGGATAAGTTGGCAGTTCATTCCGTTGTGGCGGCCCCTGATTAATAAAGGGACTAAGGGAATGAACATTATGTAAAAATGGCTTGCTGTATTTTTTTGAAAATACAATGCTTAATAAGTGTGAAGTTGATACATGCAAAAATGACTTGCCATATCAGTAAAAAATATGGAGTTTAAGTCAAAAATGGCTTGCCATATTTTGAGAAAAATAATGCTTAAAAATTATTTATTGGAAAACTATAAGTCTGATAAACCTTAAAGATATAGCAACAAAATCTACCGCATCTAAATACAGCTTTTGGCCAAATTTGGGGCTTGTATAATTTTTTTATATGCCCAGATTATAAAAATTTAATATTTAACATTTTTTATTAAAAAAATGATAAGTCTTACAGGCATGAGGAGATATAGCAACAATCTTGAATGCAGAAGGCACATTTTCACCACATTTGGGCCTTGTGGCATGAACGACCTAGGAGGAGATACGTTTGTTTTCAAGGACAGAGTAGTATAACAGTATGTTGGCTTTCTCAAGCCAACATAAATATGCTTACAGTATATCCCACATCAGATTGTTCGCGTGTGTGTATTATAGCCTGTACATCATTTTGCCATTAGAGTATTGCTAGTGCAACACACAATCGTCATATTGACATCGTTAACATGGCTCCTAATCTGATGCAGCTAAGAGACATAAGTGAACAAAGTCAATTTTACGAAATTGTTCATGTAGCTTTGTATGATTTCAGTTTAACCACTGAAGTCCACATGGAAGGTTTTTGACAGTGTTTTGGATTGGATTTGGGTCATGTTCTAGACTTTGAACGTATCGTGTCTATTGTTGTCTATGGAGGATGAGGGAGCTCTCAGATTTCATTTTTAGTGACTTACTTTGTGTTCTGATGATGAACGAATGTTTTAGGGGATTGAAATGAAGTGAGTGTGAGTAATTATAAAACAGAATTTCATTTTTGGGTGAACTAATGCTTTAATTCAGTTAACCCATTGATTCATGTTATCAGATTAAATTTTAAGATGTCTAAAAGATCTTTTCTCTGATGTAGGAGATCACACTGGAACACATTTTCAAGGTTTGAGTTTTTAGTTTTTTTAATGGAATTCTTTTTTGCATCTTTGTATTTGGTCCAGAGAGTAACCTTTAAATTTCTTTCCAGGAGATTTATTAGATCTGAAGGAAGAGCTGCTTGGAATAACAGGGGAAACAGGAGTGATACTAGGCAAGTACATCAATTAATAAATATTTTTTAGGTTTGATAAATAACTAAACTAGGTATACAATAGCATTGTTGCAAACTATTTATATGGGCTGATTTGAAACAAACAAATTAAATTTAGTAATGTTTAAGTTTGTTTAAATTCAGCCAAATGAATTGTTTGCAACTCCGTACCTTAAAAAAAGAATAAATCCAATAAATAGTTTTTAGTATAGTTTACTCTGTGACAGCACAAATTTGCACTAATGTCTCACCTCCAGTCGCTAATATAAACTCTGTTTAATGTAGACTGTACACTCTCTGTAATAAAGGTACACGAGCTGTCACTGGGGTGGTACCTTTTGAAAATATATAAATTTGTACTTAAAAGATTCATATTGCCTCAATGGTACATATTAGTATCTAAAAAGTACAAAAGTGTTCATCTTAAAAATTAATTATATATTTTTGAGGTACCTATATGCAGGCCCGGATTGGCTAATCGGGAGCACCAGGAGAATTCCAGGTGGGCCAGTCCGTTTTTTGGCCGCGAGGGCTGGTGTCCCTAGCTGCTTGCACTCTCAGCAGATAACAGTGCAATACTTATTTTTTATCCTGGACTCATCACCTTAACAGCGTCCTCTTGATCTAGTGGTTAGCACGTTGCGTTACGCGCTGCCAATCCGAGTTTGAACCTTACCAGGATATTTGTTTTTCATTTTTATTGTTGAGACATGTTACTTATGTAGGGGTACATAATTTTTGTGTGTGTGTGTGTGTGACGGCCGTTACAAAGGACTGGATATCTATAAAGAATTAATGGATGTGTTAGTGTCATTAGAAACTGAATTGGAAATAGCGTTATTTTAATATAGTCAGTCGTCAACTGAGGTGAGCTGAGGCTTGAAACTCCAGAGCTAAAAAGGAGTCCCACTCCGGCCCTGCCAATATGGCTCCTTCAAGTACAAATATGTACCTTTTCAAAAGGTACCACCCCAGTGACAGCTTGTGTACCTTTATTCCTGAGAGTGTACAGTAAATTTAATGATAGGTATTTTTCAATGCTGTGACAATTTTTATAAATTTTTAAGAATTTAGTGTATTTCAGAGAGTCACTGAATCAGTTCTACTACTAGTGAAGAGTGGTGCAAAAATAGACAAAGTAACTGTTATGGTATGTAATCATGTTGTTTTTACATTGGATTGAGACGTAACATTAGGTGAGTTTCTACTAGTGCTGGGTAAAAATAAGAGAAATCACAACAGACAGAAATGTGAAACTAAAACAACATTTTATGAAATAATGAATATATGAATTTAGAAATTTATTTAAATGACGAGTGAAATGAAAAACAGGAGTGCTGCCAAAACAAGAAAATAAATATAACAAAATCTAACTAAACTCCTACCCACTAAACTGACCAAAGAAAAACGTAGAAGCAAAACCGTAATCTTCAGCGTATGTTACGCTCAACTAAAGTTCTTAACTATTCAAAGCATAATTACAGGTGTAGCAACTCCATAATCTAACTAACACAAAAGACTAATCTACTCAGAATTACTAGAGTTCTCGTAAAGTACACACCAGGCACGTGCACACATAGGGCTCAACCTGTGCAGTGCATATACCCTTTATAGTCTTGGATAGAAAGTGCCCTTCCAAAATGAGCTGAAGTGCCCTAGTGACAGTAGGTAGTGCTGTCGCCTCACAGCAAGAAGGTCGCTGGTTCGAACCTCGGCTCAGTTGGCGTTTTTGTGTGGAGTTTGCATGTTCTCCCTGCCTTCGCGTGGGTTTCCTCCGGGTGCTCCGTTTTCCCTCACACTCCAAAGACATGTGGTACAGGTGAATTGGGTAGGCTAAATTGTCCGTAGTGTATGAGTGTGTGTGTGAATGTGTGTGTGGATGTTTCCCAGAGATTGGTTGCAGCTGGAAGGGCATCCGCTGTGTAAAAACTTGCTGGATAAGTTGGCGGTTCATTCCGCTGTGGCGACCCCGCATTCATAAAGGGACTAAGCCGACAAGAAAATGAATTAATGAATGAATATTTGGCACTGCCTAAATTCTTTCTTTTTTTTTCTGACAGAACGAAGGTATGCGCTGTATCAGAAAACAAGCCTTTCTCCAAACCTCGTATGCCATCACCAAAGAGGTACAGTGCATTTGAGACATTTGTTATATTGAGTCTATATTGACACAATGTGATTTACCACTTCAACAACTGCTGCCATGATGAATGCATATATTTGTTTTGTTTATTAACCATCCATTACAGTGAGCAAAGACCAATCTCAGTAAGTATATTACTTATTCCTATTATTAATAAATTGTGGGAAATATATTTAGATACGGTGCTTTTAAATGCAATATGTCCTAATATTTATTTTTTTCTTAAAATATTTAGGGTCATGATTATGAGGCTGAATACACCGTTGTAGATGATCTTGGCATGTATGGAAACATCCTATAATAATGCAAAAAAAGAGGATTCAGCACATTTGTTTTAACTCAATAGATATATAAATGCACTGTTTGTGTTGAGATGTATTTTTTTAGTAAGTCAAGATGCTTAATACTCACATTGTTTTGTTAACGCTGTTTCTTCTTTTTGCTGCACCCACTTCGAATGTTATCACTCGATTAAATGGGCATTATCAATGGTTATCAGCTGATAAATATGGGCCAGGTAGGCTCAAAAGGCTGGTATCATCCATCCATGTGGTTAATCAGCTATACTGCACACTAATAGAGAATACTCCAGATCTGTTTTATATTACTGTGACGGTTGGCAAAGCGGTAGATGTTAATAAACTGCAGTTAATGGGAAATTTAATAAATAATACAAATAATTCTCATGGTTAATCAGCTATACTAATAGGGAAGACTCCAGATCTGTTTTTACATTACTGTGATGGTTGGGTTGGGGTAGGTGGTAGATGTTAATAAAATACTATTAATTGGAAATGTAATAAATCTATAGCTGCTATATAAATTAATCTTGTTACATTCTGGCCACAGCTGTATGTGATCTATAGCTGAATAACCATGTGGATGGATGATAACAGCTTTCTGAGTCTACCCTACTGGCCCATACTGTATATATCAACTGATAACCACTGATCGATTATTTAGTTGAGGAATAATATTCGAACTTTTCAACTTTCTATAAATCAAATGCAATTAAATGTGCTCAGCATCTTTATATTTTTGTTTTTTCAAGATGTAAAAAAAAAAAAAAAAAAAAAAACAGAATTTAATACATGTGTTTTATTGCAAAGCGGTCTACATTTGAAGGATTAACATATTAAGGAAGATTGTTCAACATTTTAAGATCTAATACAAAGATAAAGGTAAACACTCGGGGTAATAGTGAAAATTGCCTAAAAATACATTTAAAAAGTGAAAAGTAATGCTGTTAAGCAATATCACATGAGCAAGGATGCTCTTTTTTCATCCTTGTCTGCTGTTGAGGATGTTTCAATCCTTATGGGATGATTTTGAGTCTTAATTTGGCCACACATTTCTAATTTTCAGCAACTTCAATGATTTTTGGTGAAATATCTTATTTTGACATATTTTTTCTAAAATGCTTTGATACTTTATCAAATTCAACAATACATTATGGGCAAATTGACTACCCTTTCGTTATGGTGGTGGCTGTTTTTGCCCCTTTGATTTCCATTATAATGACATTTTTTTAATTTCAAAGCCATACATCACACCATATAATCATACATTCTTGATTGCTGCTGGTTTCACCTGTTGGGAAGAGGTAACATTTTTTGTTTTAACTTTTTTATAAAAAGCTTAGTTTCTGACATCTATAAAGAGAGTAGTGTGTGTACGAGAGTGTAAGAGAGACCTTTGCACACTTATCTTAATATGAGTGAGAAAATCAAAACAAGCCCCTCAGCTCTCAGAACATGGTAAACAGAAACTGTACTTATAGTATGCACGCACACTGTAATCTGCTGTTTTACTCCATTAAACTCCATATAAAAGGCAGAAACTTCTTTGCACAGACCTATCTAAAGGTTTAATTCTTCCAAATAAACAGTCAAAATTACATATTTTATGTCTTTTCAACTGGGAAATCTAGCAACAATCAAGAAAGCATGAGTATATGCTGTCATGGCTTTGCAAAAAAAAAAAAAAAAAGTCATTATAATAGAAGTAAACGGGGCAAAAACAGCCATGAGAATAATGAAAGGGTAGTCAGTTTGAACGATATACAAGGGTTAATATCATATTGCATGCCTAAAAAAAATGAAAAAGAACTTTGTTAACCTCTTGTAATGCTTCCCTATCCTGAGCCCAATCCATGGAAAATGACATACTTAAACTCGTTTTTTTTTTCACAACCATGTGAAATATAAACAAATGAAAGCAACTAAAGATGAGCAGTTGATAAGTTTTGTTTACAGTATATTAAGCAATTTTATTGGAAGCTATATTTCCCCAGATTCATCACAATACCTAAAAGATTAATTGACTACTCATCTATACAAACTCAAATAAGCATTGCATTGGCCATTCTTCAGTCCAACCACAGTAATTGCCCTGGTAGAGCCAATAGAACAATCACTTCATTGTTTTTGAAAACTTATAACCAAACAGTCAGCATTTGCAATTTGCCAGAATAGAGAAGGATCCACTTTAAGAAAGAGGAAGCGGGCAGTGCTGCTGAAGACATGTTTTACTGTCATGCTTGTTTAAAAAAAAAAAATGCTAAAATAAAAACTGCTAAATTTCGCTATCTATAATCCTTAATAATCACACTTGCATAGCAATCACGCATCATACTTTCACATCCGACACTCGATGACACTCAAATACCCTGTCAGAAAAGTCTAGTGGCTGGTAGTGAGCTTTCTAATGTCTGCTATATATGATGTTAATGTTGTTTTCATGTGTTTGCAGTACATGGATGAATACAGCCACGGTGTAAATGCACAGTTACAATCTTATAGCCACATTATATCCTTACACTCTCAGAAATAAAGTTACACACGCTGTCACTGCAGTGGTAACTTTTCAAAAGGTACACATTTGTACCTAAAGGGTCCATATTGGTACCTTAAAAGTATATATTAGTACCAAAACGCTTTAAAAAGGAACACTTTTTGTACCCTTGAGGTATTAATATGGACCTTTCAGGTACAAATTTGTACTTTTTGAAAAGGTACCACCCCAGTGACAGCTCACGTACCTTTATTTCTGAGAGTGTATAAAAACATGATGTCGTTGCCTTCAGTGATTTCCTGAAAATAAGTACCATAAAATAACACAACTGGAATAACTACAGCAGTCGTGATCATCTGATCTCATACAGTATGTGAAGAGATTTCGATGACAAATGATGATGTGTGCAGGTGCTGTAGCGCTGTCCTATTTCCTATGGGTACATTTCAAAGGCCTTTCTCTTCACACTCTGTTTCAAGTACCACGAGGAAGAAGTAGGGGTACAAAAATAGAATTGGGATTGGGCCTAAGGTTGTTCACCCCAGGCTATAGTTTGGACTCCTCCAAGCCTCTGGACCCTATGCACTTTTGACCCCATTTAGCAGTTCATCATCTGCTAAACTCAAATCTGATATTCCCGTGACGGCTCAAGCTGAGGCCTAAAAAGTTGTGCACAGTGCTTGTCATAAATCACTTTTTAATTCGATTTGTTTTCAAACAATATTTAATTTTAAATTAAATACTATTATTTTATTAATTAAATAAAATTAATAAATAATTGTTTTAGCTTTTAGACATTTCATTCTATCAAAACCTAAATATATGGGATATAAAATCTATGGTATCTCCATGGTAACCCACAGCTCATGCTTTCTCAACTGTTGATGTTATTTTGTTTCAAACCCAGTTATTAGTAGTGATAATAAATTACTTTACCAGTATATACATAAATAAATAGATACATAAATAACAAAACAAACATTACTATTGTGAATACACAATGGTGTATCACATTTGCAGAAAGGGGAAAAAGAAACAACACCATATATACTTAGTTCATTGTAGCTGCGTGATAAACTTGACATGTCAGCATGGAAACTTTTAAAGTGATGCATTCTGAAACAGTGGTCATGTTAAATAAACTGAATATGTCATTGTCGAGTTTATGCGAAGTAGCCTTTACACGATAACATGTTGCAACGATGCAAAGCACACAAGCAGTTATTATACTGTATGTCTCAGTGTTGGTGAACAAAAAAAGTTTGCTGGTTCTTGCCTCTTCCTTGAAATTGTGTGTGAATTTAAAGCTGCTAGCTCATTCTTCAGTCTCAGCTTGCATATTCAATTCGATTCATCTTTATTTCTATAGAACTTTTAGAATGTAGATTTTGTTAAAGCAGCTTAGCATAGAAATTCTAATTGAAACTGAAACCGTGTCAGTCCAGTTTAGTTCAGTTCAGTTCAGCGTAGTTTATTTTCACTAAAAATCTAATCCATCGATGTGCAGCTCCATAAGTCCTAAACCAAGCAAGCCAGTGGTGACAGTGATGGGGAACAAACTTCACCAATTGACGACAGTGAAGGAAAAAAAAACTCAAAAGAGCAAGAATCGGTTGGGCATGACCATTTCTCTGGCCAAGTTTCTTGTGCAGAGCTGCAGTCGGGGGCTGGAGAAAACTGGATGTCCATAAAGGGTAAGTCTACATCAACATACTATTGGGAGAGCTGGACAGGATTTTAAACATTGACATAGCAGGATACTAGGAGCAGGAAATGTGGTGGAGACTTGGCTCTTTTGATTTCTCTTTTGGAGGGAGAGGATTTGAACTGCTGCAAGATGTTTTTTCACAAACGGTTACGAGGAGCAGATCTAATAAATGCAGTTCTTTCACTTAAAATAAAGCCAAAAGAGGAATCCTGTAGCAATGTGTGAAAACAAACCAAGATCATTTAGTACAGAGGTTCTCAAACTGTGGTCATGTCATATGTACATGCAACATATATTTCAAAATTTCTCAACAATGGTTCATATATATGAATATGACATGTAGTATATATTTATGAGGTCCAAGCCACATTTCCAGGTTTTGATGAATAGGTTACTATAGGTTAACACTTTACATTTAAATACAGGAGTTTTTTTTTTTATTATTTACTTTTTTAGAACAGTAGCCTACCATTTTTAAAGAACTTTTAGATGCAAGTTTTAATTTGAACGTTGACATTTTATTTTGTTTGTTCATTTTTTTTACATATAAGCACAGTACAGTGTTAATGTTCAACCTATTTATAATGTTTAAAGTGGCAGATAATAATATATATTCTTAATAATGTGTATTATGTGTAGTAATAATATTGTGTGTATAATGTGTAGATTAGTAGTTAATCTGCCATGATTTAAACTGCAGCGTTGTAGCTGCTTTACTAGGGCTACCACACTACTGTATTTCATGTATTGTTCATGTTACTGTATTTGGTCATTATAGTGGTACTTAGAGAGAGAATTTTTTTTCTTAGGTGGTACTTGGTGAAAAAAGTTTAACAACCACTGATTAAGTAGATATTTGTATTAATATAATTAATTGAAAATGAAACAAACGCTAAACTGACTGTTGCACATGCAGTATGTTCAAGTTGGTGTTTTGGACAGGCTTTAAAATGTACCATTTGTGTTTTAAAGAAGTCTTCAAACAGTCCCTCTTGTCAGTAACAAACAGCACTGTTCTTGTCAGGAAGTACTAATGTATATTTGATCACAGCGTCACTGCAGAAGTGTTTTGGTGTGATGCACTCTGGCATGCAATAATACCAAAGGAAATTATTTTTACAGTGTTGAGTTGTACCAATAACAGCCGCTTCCTTTCTTTTACTTCTTTTATTTTGCAATCTGCTTTTCCCAGTTCACTACAGAAGACTACTTGGAAGGTAAGATGGTCCTAATTATTTTCATTTTTGGTTTTCATTTGTGGGATCTCCACTCTTAGTGATTTTAAAATGAATGAATGTTTTTTGTACAGCAAATATTCATCATCTGCCCGTCTCGCTGAATTAGCTGTGCACAATCCTCTGCTTTAATCTGTTGTGAAGTAGTTATAATGCTTGGTACTTTTACATGTGATATTGGTTGGTAATGCTTTAGATTACATCCATCAAAATATGTAAGTAAACCAAATGTACAGCTTACATTTAGTAAAGTAGTGTCCCCATGAAATGCGTACTGTATGTACACCTATTGGAGTCCAACTTTGGGTTAAATATAGACAAATCTAACTGTTGGGTTAACATTTTTAAATAAACATTTTAATCCAGCTCGGTTGGGTTTCAAAGTTAGAATTTACCTTGTATGCCACCATTACAGCAGAGTGTGTTCAGTTTGCATAGCATTGTGTAACATTACGGTTCAATGCAGCTGAAAACAACTTTCAGTTTTCAGTCTTTCAGTTCTACTTACAACAAACATACAAAGCAAAATGGCAAACTTTTATTCCAGTATTTATTTCCTGTAAAAATGAGTTTCATAACTTTTTTAAGTAATATTTAAAATAGGTAGGGCAACTAAGTGAAACAAATAACATTTTCCTGTAATTACTGGACAATTGTTATGTCGCATGTTCATAGATAAATGCAACGGTTAACCACTTGTTTCTCATTGTTACAAGGTTGATGTATTTGAGTGGTGTAAATTAAACTGGCGCTTCCTGTTTCTCATAGTTGCAGGGTAAATATTATGCATCCGGGGTACAAATTATGATCATATTCAATTAACAATTAATAAATGCAATAAACTTAAAATCAATCAAAATCAACTAAAATTGTGCACGTAAGAGTAACTTCTGTGATTCGGCGTCTACATGCCGGACTGGGGCTGAGCCAGCCGTTCTGGTAAATTAGGAGAGTGTGAATAATATTAATCACATCTAGGGTTCAAAAAAGCTTTGAAATAGCCCTGACAAGGATGCTTTAAAGAGCCCATATTATACATGAAATAGGGTCATATCTTGGTTGTAAGGGTCTCCAACAACAGTCTAATATGCATGCAAGGTCAAAAAACACTTTCATGGTCTTATAATCTGCATTTATTTTTACCTAATTATCCCAGCGACTCCTGTATGAATCGTTCAGTGATTCATTTGTTCCCAAACCCCTCCTTAGCGCGAAGCTAATCTGCGCTGATTGGACCGATGACAGTCTGTCGCGATTGGTCGACTGCCTTCAGTCAGAGAGTGAAATGGCCAATAGCTAATCAGCAATTTAAAAAGTAATCACAGTTCATACACGCTAGATAGTGTAGGCGTGGATTTTAGCTGCCACACACACACAAACACCTCCGGACGAGAACGCTCCCGCTTCCGCCCGCACCCGCCAGGTTTTAGCCTTAGAACCCGCCCCGTATTCTGCCCGCCGCGCCCGATCCCGCTAAAGAGCGGGGGAGAACAAAACCGAAAATCTGTATAAACACACACACAGCACCAAGCATAAAGCTCTCGCTCGCTCGCTCGCTCGCTCGCTCTCTCTCTCTCTCTCTCTCTCTCTCTCTCTCTCTCTCTCTCTCTCTCTCTCTCTCTCTCTCTCTCTCTCTCTCTCTCTCATACGCGCGCGTGCGCACTAACACACAAGCACCAAGCAGACACATCTTTCTCTTTCTCAGGCAGCCCGCTCCCGTCCCAAATCAAACCCGTTACCGACCGCTCCGGCGATTTATTCGGAAATTTATTCCCGCGCCGCAGAAATCTGGCGCGGGGACAGCCGCGGGTATGCACACCTCTAACGTTACCACGGAGCTCCATAAACAAAGCAGCACGCGTCGCGTTTTTAACGTGACTTTGCACGCGATAAGAGAATATAGCCAGTTAACCTGATACAGTACACTCGGTTACAAGTAACAAATCAGAACTAAATACATTTGCAAGCTAGAGTCAACGAGGCAACAACTTTAACCGCACGTACTTACACTTGAGAAATGGAAGAAACCCATCCTGACGTCCATCAGTTACTCTTTACTGATCCTTCCTTTAACAAACTCAGATGAAGTATTCTTTGTAGCATGTAGCTTCCAGAATTTTCCAGTAGTTTCCAACTGCTTGGCTATAATGCTGAGGTTTCATCTTTGGGTAGAGACTCAATATATCCATCTGCAATGTGACTTCAATCGACCGGCATGTTTGTGTGCGTGTGTTTGTGGGTGTGTGTGTGTGTGTGTCTGGGTTACTGCGTCAGAGGGCGGGGCCTCAGGTTTGAAATCTCCCGGGTTTGCGCGTGCACGTGAAAAACTTTGTTTCGTTCGTACGTCATGGCGAAACACCTAATGAGTCGGTATCAAGGCGACTCGTTTGAAGCACTATGAGTCGACTCTTTTATAGATGAATCAACAGTTTTAAACACTGTATTCTTACAGATTTAAGCCTTAGCTGGATACTTCACTTCACTTAGAGCTGTGTTACACACTACATGGAGGGGAATTTTCAAAAACCCATAATATGGGCTCTTTAATTATGTTTCTGTTGACATTTTTATTTTTTTGTTTTAGATGTTCAGTGGTTGAGAAGTGAGGATATTGTCTCCTCATTGTACATAGGTTTATGACAAACTTATTGATGACAGTTTGCCCTTAAACACAAGTTACTTCATGATTTGTGCAAAGCGTACAGAAAAAGGGAGAAAGCCAATTAAAGGCATAGTTCAACCAACATGACAATTACATAAATATAAACCATGTGCCTCTAAACCTTTATGAGATTCTTTCTTGTGAACACAAAATTCTGAAAAATGGTATTTGCAGTAAATTTTTCAATTTTATAAATTGAATAGAAGTATCTTCAGCTTAAAATGTTTAGTTGACCAATTTAAATAGCTGACACAACTAATGAAGCAATCTGCATAAGTTCTGAGAGACGGTGCTCTCGCTCCTCCTCCTATAAGCTCTTCTAATGAGTGCACCAACCCCACCCCTAACCCTACCCCCAGTAACATCACTCGTAGAAGAAGTGCAAGAAAGGAGGAGCGAGAGTTCAAGCTCCCCCTCGCTGGAGCTCAGCTCTGCCCAAATGGCTCTGCAGTGAGCACCACTTGAGTTCCGACAGGTTTTTAAGTCAAGCACTGCTAATAGTTTACATTTGGAAAGCCCATCCTCTATCAGTTGATCTAAACTTCTCACTCCTCACTCTGCTTTCCTCTGTTATGCTTGTTGCTTTTGACATCTGCTAACTTAAACAATATCATTGGGTTGTCATTGTAGATTGCTGTGTTCTGCAACCTGCTGCTTCCTTGAGCTTTTCATGGATAAAAAGGACGGAAAAAATTAGAAAAGAGCTTTACCACCTAATGCAAACTTGAAGTAAATTTGAAATAAGCTGAAGCTTGTCTATTGTTCTTTTTGACTCGAGAGGAACTGAACTTTTATAGCCTGGACTTGCATAACTTAAGTTAATATATTTCAAGTAAACTTTGCAAGTTCTGCTTATTTGTCATTGTCTTAGAACTCACACAGAAAGACTTCCTGGTCCAGCCGCAACACTTACTGTGCTTTTTACTGTGTGAACTTCTTACTGTGACGTGACAGTGCTAACCACTTCCCCGTAGTGCCACCAACAACAAAATACTTTACACATTTTATTAAAGGACTGCTTTTATTTAAAAAAATACACACAACTTTAAAATATAATAGACTTAATTAGCAAAATACCAAATAATATTCATAAGAAATAATCTTCCTTATAAAGTCTTTTTTTTCTTTTGTTTTAAATCTGTCCAAAGACTGTATTTAAATCAACTTACAGACAAGTTGAGATAGTGAACTCTTTCTTTCATTCATTTTCTTTTCAGCTTAGTCGCTTTATTAATCAGGAGTTGCCACAGCAGAATAAACCGCCAGCTTATCTAGCTAATGTTTTACGCAGTGGATGCTCTTCCAACACTGGGAAACACCCATACACTCTCATTCACACACAAACACCACAGACAAATTAGCTTACCCAATTCACCTATGTCTTTGGACTTGTGGGGGAAACTGGAGCACCCAGAGGAAACTTACACGAACACAGGGAGAACATGCAAACTCCACACAGAAATACCCACTGACCCAGCCGAGGCTTGAACTAGCAACCTTCTTGCTGTGAGGCGACAGCGTTACCCACTGCGCCACCATGCAGTCCAGACTAAAAACTATAAATACATATTCAGAAATTGCAAGTTGTTTCAACTTACAAACCATGTTGACAACTAAAATGTAAAATGATTTTCCAAATTTCATGTCGATGGGTGCCAGCAACCAGCTTTTTTCAGAACATCATCTTTTGTGTTCAAATAGGGGGGTCCAATTTTGCTGCATGTAAAAGTGTATGTGACAAAGGCTTCATCATCATCGTCATCATTTAACTTTGGTTTTTGTTTATGTTTGACACAGAAACATGAATGCACCACTTTTGCTTCACTTACTTTTTCAAGGTAAAGTACCTTTAAGGAATGTTTTGTCACACAATTAAATGGTCAGATTTGACTCTAGCATACCAAAACAGTTACACTAACAGAAAACAATATGAGTTCAATTAAATGCTGAAATTGTCAGTTTAAATGAACACTCAGTTATTTATGTTCTTCACCTTTTGTCCCTCAGGTGTTCTGCTGTTCGGTGCTTTAGGATGGGAAGTGAGAATGCCAAAGGAAATTCATGGCCTCAAAGGTTCCTGTATGGTGATTCCATGTTCTTTCAGCTACACAACAAACCCACCTACAAAGCCAGACAAAGTTGTGTGGTATCAGTGGGTCTCTAGTGGCTATCCTTTAGTCTGTGATCCTTCAAATTCAAATAACGTAATTGACAAGTTTAGAGGAAGAACTTCTTTATATGGAGGCTCAAGTGGTGCTTGCAGTCTGCTGATCAAAAACCTGGAACAGTCCCATCATGGAGAGAAAATATACGCATGGATCGACCCTGATAATATTGGATGGCGCACTTACAAATTTTACGATGTCACCTCTACAATCCGTGTTGATGGTATGTAGATAGTAAAATATTCATATTTGCTTCACTGCTTGTCTGGTTAATCAGTGAGTGTTGTCTAATTGTGTCATTTCTTCTGTTTTTAGCCCGTCCACAGTTACCCAGCATCAGTATTTTTGGTGGAGAGAAGATGGGGGACAAGATTACAGTAACCTGTTCTGCTTCCCACACGTGTCCATACAGCATACCAAGAATCATTCTAAATGGTATTGAAGGATCTGACCAAACAAATGGTGACTGTAGTTCAGATGGCCAGTGCAGAATCGCTCTGACACGCACAGCTGTCGTAAAGGCAGAAAACACAACTTTTGAGTGTTCAGTAACACATGATGGTGGCACAACAGTGACAGCTACAAAAAGACAAAGTTCAGAATGTGAGTAAACACAAATATGAACTGCTTTGTCAGATGCCACTTATAAATACATATTAAACATCATGGTTGGACCTTTTACAAGATTTAATCTTAATTTCAGGTGTTCATCAAAAAATAACAGTTGAACCTGAAATAGTAGAAGTCACTGAGGGCATCAAACAGAACTTCACTTGTAACGTCTACCATTCCTGTCAGAGAGAGAATCCAACTATCACATGGAACTACGAGAACATGCAGGTCTCAACGGGGAGCAAAATAGTTTCTGGTTTTGATCGTGTCACCTATTCCAGCATAAGCTTTCTGGGCACCACAGAAGACCATGGGAAGAAGCTGAAGTGCACTGCAAAAGTTTCTGGAAGAAACATTGAAGCTTCTGTTGCTTTACGTGTACAATGTGAGTAAATGTAAATATGAATTGATGTGTGTTCTGTTAGCCATTTAAATGTGAGACCTTTTACAAAATTAACACATTTTTACAGGTGTTCACCGTAACATAACGATTGAGCCAGAAATAGCAGAGATCACTGAAGGTGTCGAACAGAACTTCACTTGTACCGTCCACCATTCCTGTCAGAAGGAGAATCCAACCATCACATGGAACTACGAGAACATGCAGGTCTCAGAAGGGAGACAAACACTTTCTGGTTTTGATCGAGTCGTCTATTCCACCATAACCTTTTTGGGTGCAAAAGAAGACCATGGGAAGAAACTGATCTGCTCTGCAGCATTTTCCAGAGGAAATATCACAGAATCTGTTGTCTTATATTTGCAACGTAAGTGATCTCTCCATGTCTGATCATACAGTATATGTTTTTTATTGACTATCTTAGTATTAGTCAGTACTAATAATGATTAATTCTTTTATTCGCTTTCCGTAATGAAACAGACCCAATTCTCACCGTACTGAAGACTACTGGTCTTTACATCTTAACACCCTCACTTGTGTTCCTCCTGGCTTGTGTAATTGCTGGAGTCATCATATGCAAGAGGCGACACAGGTAAATCTTTGTGTATTTTACTTATTTTACTAATGTATTTCCAAACATTTGTCTCGGCCTACATTTTTGAAAAACCTGAGATACATTGCCTCTGGTATATTTTGTTGCATGTTTTACATAAGTCCACTAGAGGACGCTGTCTGCATTTTTTTTATTATTATTTTTTTTTTGCAAACCCAAAAAAACTTTACGGAAATACATTTGTTGTATGTATCAGATACACATCCTTCTGTATACAATTTGAGAAGGCAGGGGTTCCCAAACTTTTTAGCCTGTGACCCTCATAATAACAATGTCAGTGACTCGTGACACCCAAATTCCTGCAGGTGGGTTCCATTATAAGCAATGCTGATTGAAATATACAATAATATACTGTTAATGCTTTCATTAATAGTGTTACTCTCGTCACTGAAAAACATTAAACTGGAAATACAGTAGAAATCAAACAAAAGGGAAAACAAGTTAAATAATAATTGTAAACATTTACAGCATCACTTCTAACACACAACTGTTCTTAGGTCAAAAGATGCAAGTTTTGTGTCAGGAAGCAAACCTTTCAAACCTCACATGCCCTCACCAAAAAGGTACAGTACAGCAAATTAGCACATTTCAATCAAAATGTTTACAAATAAAGATTGTGTAAATGCAATAAATACAACTATTTTATGCTTCCCCCATGCATCTCAGTGATCCAAAATCCATGTCTGTGAGTATTATTATTTTTATATCATTATAATTATTTTTTTAACAGTATTGCACTGTTAAAATCATACTGCGGCTCTAACAAAATTGGTTTGTGTATTATACCTAACTGTTTTCTTAAAATATTTCACTTAGGGTAATGATTATGAAATATACAACAACATGGAAGAAGACCCTGACATCTATGCCAATGCCTGATCAAAATTCAAGACATCAAAACTATCAAATGTGCTTATGAGGCGTTTTTAAATTGCTTACCATTGTTACACTTCATTCATGAAAAAATAATTCTTTCATCCATAATAAATATTTCATTTTCATGTGCATTAAATAACATTTAAGCTTCAAATACAGTAAATCTTTTACAGGCTAGATGTTTTATATAACATAAGCTGGGCTATACTTTATTGAATGTATCTTTACTAATTGTGCTTGTATTAAAAGTGTTTTTTTTTAATACTTGACTTAAATATCCTAATTGTTTTGTTACATATTATGTGTCATTTATTGTATTTGTGAATTATTGGTTGCCTTTTGTTCATTTATTTTTATCTTTTATTAAGTTTTCTAAAAGGCTGTTTAGCTATAAAACCTATTGTTGTGATGAGCTAATTGTTGTTATTATAGCTACTTACATTCATTGTTTTTTAATGTCTCAATGTAAAAAAAAAAATCTTTACTTTTTAATTTTACTTTGTCTTTACAATAAAGCATAAGGTTTTACATTAAATGTATCCTACTACTGAAATGTGTATTTATATTTTTATGCAATACGTTAAATGTTCTCAGCTTGACTCAAGTTCCTAAATACCTATACGGATGCTCAATGTTGGCGCCACCTACTGGTGAACAATTTGTTTAAGCAATAAGAACTCAAAACAAACACATTTTAACAATACAAAAGAAAAAAATCTTGAAATTACTTGTTTTTACAATAATTATAAACTATTTAAAGGTGCAGTAGGTGATTGTCTTCAGAAACATTTGTTGTTGTGCAGGTTGAAAGTCTCTTCACATTCCAATAGTAACGATTAAAGTAAATGATCAATGTATTTATATGTATTTTTATATTTTGGGTAAAGCATAAATCAAAAAATGTTCATCCAATTAAAGTCGGGCCGACATCTCTCATAATTGCTATAAGTAGCTCAAACTGTCTGTCAGCAAATGCAGATTTGAACAACTGTGCAACCCTTTACACGCAGTTCCGCCGACCGCTGTTTGTGCATAGATGTGCTGCAGTTTAAAGAAAGAGACAGCACGTGCGTGCGATGGACAAAAACATGCTGAATCAGAACTTTTTAAAAACCTGAATCAATATTGGAGTTACCTTTGCATGCTGGAGAAAGGATGACATCATGGCTGAAGGATTTCTCTTAGACAGGTAATGTTCTGCTTTAAAACTGTTTTCGCTCCACGCAAAGCTGATGTTGTTGTTAGAAATGGTTTATACAGTATCTTCACAGAAGTGTTGTTCAGCCACTAAAATCTTCCGGTGGAAGATTGATAAGTCCATTTTCAATTTCATAAGAGACCTTTTACAAAATCGATAATGTAGATTTTATTTAGTTTAACAACAAAACACATGTAAATACCCCTATTCCACCTAGTCTCTCCCTATATTGTTTACCATGAAACTCTTAATGTTTGTTCTGAAATAGCATGGCAGTTTGACTTGCCGTTTAAGCTCTAGTCGCTTTTAACACACGAGAGAGGGTTCTTCTGCTGTCATCATCTTTAAAGGCTGATTTATACTTCTGCGTCAAACAACGGCGTATGCTGCGGCGCTGACGCATAGCCCTTCGCCGGCGTCACTGACGTGCACCTCTCAAAAAATGTAACTACACGTCGCAACGACGCGTAGCACAAGCTCTGTGATTGGTCGGCTTGGTAGCGCTTTGTTTATTGTTTACAAGTGTGGAGTCCTGTGAAGGAGCTCCGGATGGAAAGTTTTGTTTTGTGTTTACCTTATAGTTAAAGTTGTAGCACGTCCGCCGGTTCCTGCCTTAAAGTTAGCGAGTTTGAGCCACTTGTACATCCCGGATGTGTTCAGGAAAAGCAAAACAGCAGCTAAGAAGCTCGACACAGAGGAACATTAACACCTCACTGCCAACTAGCGTTTCGGAAGTGTTAATGCAGACCAAACAGAGACAGCGCGCAGAAGTATAAATGCACAGCTACGCGCGTTGCATGCGCTGTGGGTTACGCCGGTCACTTGACGCAGAAGTATAAACCAGGCTTTAGGTGTGAGTGCTTCTGTTTCAAGAGGCATGGCTCTGGACGGCAGGGGAGGGACTGTGATTCAGAGATTTATGCTAAGCTGTTAGCATTGTGGAAGATCACCTACTTCACCTTTAACATCACTCTGTTTTTAATGATATTTTTTGTTTTCAGCACTAGAAATATTAATTCCTTTAGCCATTTTCATCACAAGGCAGATGTAAGACTATTGGTCAATTATTGCATTACAGTTGAGTGCTACGACCCCTAGTTAGGTGACAAAGAGGTTTAAAGGTCTTGTATGTGTATATATACATACATAGCACGCAGTGGTTCAAAGGCTAAAGCTGTGTTCACAATACAAGTGACTCGCAGTGGCAAATCAACAAGCAACTGTTCACTTCTAAAGAGAGTAAGCGACTTCCGGCACTTTCCGTCTACAAGTCGCTGCTGGAGTGAATGAGGCAAAACTCGGCTGTTCCCACACTGACTGATTTGTTTTTTTCTTATAAAGACAAAAGAAGTTATTTAAATGTTATTTTCCAGCAGATATTAGTAGGTTTTCTGAAGATGTCAGATGAAGCACAGTGAAGTTTGCCTATACACTGAAAAAAGTGTTGCATGCAGAACTGTTGCAAACAATTTATTTGTGTTGAATTTAAACAAACAAATTAAATTGAACAAACTTCAACTTAATTTGTTTGTTTAAATTCAACACAGATAAATTGTTTACAACCACTTAACCTAAAAAAATTGAGTAAAAAATCCAAGGAATCATGTTTGAATAATTTTTTTTAGTGTATGATAAACTATGACAGGTTGTGTTCATTAAAAAGTAATGAGTAATAAGTCCATATGAAAACGTCTCTTAAATGTAACGTACTGCAGCATCTTCAGTTTCTTGGGCATGTTTTGCATTCGCACTACAAGTTTACCACACCCAAGCCCAACTGAGCCATGCTCTGACCCACCTCTTTCAACCAATTGAATAGGCATGGTGATGCTTTGATTTGCCTTGAGATTTTAATGCCTTAAGTTTTTTTCCTTAAATTAATTAGGCCCTATTATGCATTATAAAAGGTCATATTTTGGTTTTGGCATCTCCAACAGCAGACTGATATGGATGCAAGTTCATAAACACTTTCATTGTCTTATTATATACAATTATTTTTACTATTTTACATCAACTCCCAAATTATTTGTTTAGCGATCAATTTTTTTTTCAAAACCTTCCTTTGTGTGACACTAATCTGTAGTGACTTGTCCGATAAATTAGACTGTTAAGATTGGTCGACTGCACTTAGCGTGAGATGAAAAGAAATGCAGCCAGCCATGGTCCTGAGTATATGTGTGAGCCCAATGCTGTTAAGCACCAGCAAATTGCTCTAATGTAATAACACATACATTTAGTATTAATTGACAGTGGCGCAAGTCAAACTATTTTAAAAATATTGTCAGAACAGCTGATTGTGGCAATAGCAATGACAAACCCCAGGTCATCGTGACTTCGAAAATGAATCGAATGAGTAAAGGAAGTGGCAAGTGAGGTGTTTTCCAAACTGTTTTAGATGTGATATTTGAATAGCCCCCTGAAGGTAAACCCTACCCCTCACAGTAATGTCACAAGCTCCATTCAATGCATTGTGTCTGAGATAGCAAGTCTGAAATCTCAGCTTGCAAATCCAAGTCTGCGTCCAGATACTATATAGTACAAGTTGTGCAGAGCGATTAGAAGTTACAACACAAAATTAAGTACATGTTTGCGAGCTAGAGAATGCATGAAAGCAGCCATTTTAATCACACTTACAGGTTGTGATCCAGAGAAACTGGTTCATATATGAACTGTGTACTGACAAAATCCCTGTCGAGAACATCTTTCTTTTAATGTCAAACAGACAGAAGAAAATGACAGGAACAAACACAGCACACAGTTAAAGGTTGGCTATACTATTATTGTAAAAAGGCATCTTTGGCCATTTATTCACTACAGCCCACTTCTCTGGTCATCTCTGTGTGATGATTGGGATCATCTTTGCACCATGATCAATCCCATCCCACATTCTGTTAGTCTTTGAAGGGAAGGGCGGATTCAAGTTTTCCCGAGTTTGGTGCCTCATATATGGCAATGTTTTGTATCGGCGTCCACACAATAAGACAGAAGATTTAAAGGGCACCTATGGTGAAAAATCTACTTTTAAAGCTGTTTGTATAAACGTGTGTAAGTATAGTGTATATACTGTCATATTGGGGTGAAATAAACACATCCAGTCCTTTGTTTTTCAAATTTAACAACATAAAAACGGTGGAACAATTGGAGCGGTTTTCAGATCGACCGCAGCTTGACTTAGGAGTGTGGTCCCCCCGCCCACCAATATTGATTGACATCTGTGCGCATTAACATGTCTCCATAGTAATGCATATAATCATATCGACTAGACAGGACGAGCGCAAAGCAACGGGCAATAAAAGGTCTGTTCAGCAGCAAAAACCTTTTCCCAGCTATAATACAGACACTTTAAACAGCTATAATAAATACTCTGATGGGTGTTTTGAACTGAAACTTTACAGACACACTCTGTAGACACAAAAGACTTAAAATAATTATGAAAAAAGGGGTAACCTATGTGCCCTTTAAAATTACATCCTCAGCTTTAATTTACTTATAGCTTTGTTAAATACTAGAATGTAATTCTCAAAAACCCATAATATGGTTTCTTTAAAAACAAGTAGCCTAATTTCAGATCTACAAAACCATTTTCTCCTCCATTTAAAATGCAGTTAAAACATAACCCTAATCTGTCACGTTAACCAATTCTAAAAATAATGAATAGCTGTGAAGTATTCTACGTGTGACTTGACCTCTTGTGTTTTATAAGGGTCCTAAAACAGACCCTGGTGTTAGAAACCATGTTCTGGCCAGGAAACACTATGTTTGACTGCAGTGTCATCACAAGTGGACTGATGTGAGAAGCTCTGACATTTGACTTGACCAAGATCTTAATCATCTTGCTGGGCTTGAACTTTACACCATAATTGTACTGAGCTTCATCTTTCACCTTTGACTTCTGGGCAGCAAGTTATTTTTCCATCCTTACTAAGAACTACAGAGGAGGTGAGAATGAAAAATTAATTTGTTACATGTTAAAAAAAAAAAGAGACTGATGACCTTACTATTAAAACTGCAGTGTAATTGGCAGACTGGTATTAAATGATTCTGAAAAAAATATTCAAATTGTATTTTTAT